AGGGCACGGCTCTCAGCATCATTTTTTTTTAGTTTTTTTTTCTTTTTTTAGTTTTTTCTTTTACATTACTACCTGCAAATATATACACAAAGGAATTTCAATGTAACATATCCATTTATGAGTGCAATATTTCTTGATCTCTGTCACCCATTCTATCATCTTCCCACTTAGCCAATACCCACCCATCTCAACTTTCCTTCTTCTGTTTTTACATATATACATAGAGTACTGTGACTGTATTCACCCACCATCTGCTTTCAGCTGCCTACCTCCAGTTAGCCCCCACTACTTAATCAAGAAATGTTTTAGCTTCCTGTTATTTATTTTGTTAAATTGTTCAAAGAAGTTACACCATGGAATCTCAGTCCTTTGAGCAATATTTTCTAAATTGCAATGTTGGAATTCCACCTAAAGCCCTTGCATGTGCTAGGGAAGCTACTGCTCCTGCTTTGAACAATGTTTATGAGCAGAAAGTGGAGTTATCTTTTCTATGGCCTTTTACCAACCAGGACCTACTCTATCCTCTTTCCTCTTCCTCCTCTACTTTCCAACTACTCTGCTGCTCCCAGTTTTATCCGCTGACTCCTCAAGTCAATGCAAACTTTGTTTCCTACTTGATGTCATGCTGTTTTGTGCTGTGATGACCAAAGGATCTACTCAGGAAAGACACTATATGAAAACAAATCTGAGTTCAACACCCAGGCCCTGAGTTCAAGCCCCACAACTGACAAAAAAAAGGAAAGGAAAAAAGAAAAAACAAATCTCACAAAGAGTAGTTCCTTTCAGTCAGTGGTGACTTTCCTTTGGTTTCTGAAGCTTTCAGTCACTCTCCAGTGCCTCTAAATAGTTACCCTACTATATCTTTTCTCTAGTGGATCTGTGCTAACCAAAATTGTCAAAGCACATTTGGCTGGATTTCATTTTCATAATATTATATAAAATATAATATATATAATATATATATAAAACTTTTGACTGATTGACAGATACTATACAACTATGACTTTTTTGCAGCCTTGGGTTACGATTGTTAGGAATGAATTGTTTTTCTTTTATTAATACCATAGGAAGCTTTTTATCTGATGGATAATATCAACATGTTCTGATGTTACAGCAGTAGGCAAAGCATGCTCTTTTTCTGTAAGCACTTTAAGAAGTATCTAGAAGAAGTTAAATCAAGTATAGAAGTGAATTTTAAAACTATGACAGAGGTAACAATGTTCAACAAGAATTGTACTCATTTCCTTACTTATGTAACTGTAATTCCTCTGTACATCCCCTTTACAATACAATAAAATAAAAATATGACAGAAGCTGCACTCCGATGGTTCACACCTGTAATCTTCTTCAATTAAACACCAGAAAACCAGAAGTGGTACTGTGGCTCAAAGTGGTAGAATGCTAGCCTTGAGCAAAAGATCTTAGGGACAGCATCTAGGCCCTGAGTTCAAACTCCACAAATGACTCAAAAAAAAAAATAGCTGGTAATTGAAAGGACTAAAACCAACAGATGTGGAAATTTAAAGCAGTAGGAATACTGATATTTTATGTTACCTCTAGGTCTGTGAGAAATGACCCCAATATTAGTGACCTAAAATGGCCATTCATTTACCTCCAAATCTCATGGTTCTGTGGATTACTGACATAGGCCAGGCTCAGCTAGATGTTCGTTGCATTTGGACTGTGCTTAATCACAGCCCTGAGGTCAGCTGTGTGCCAGCAAGGCAGCTAAGCTCCTGGGGGTTGGCTGGCTGTTGACTGCCTAACTGGCCATAAGTCTTCTAGGAGACTTTTGCTTATTACACAGTCACTAGGCAGACCTCCCAAGACCTTGGTCTGGAAGTTAACGTTTTTTTTTCAGTGCTGGGAATTGAACTCAAGGCCTTGTATACTAAGGCACTGCCCTGCAAAATTCTAAACAGTTATGTCAATCACTCAAAGTCAGAACAAGTCACAAGGCCACTCCACATTCAAGGGGTGGAGAAATACCCCTAAGTATTTTTTGTAAGAGACCACTAGGGGAGGGGTTGTACAGGGGGAAAGGCTGTAGCCCTTGGCCATCTACCACATATCCTGCTATGGTTTGGATCTTGTTTGGTTTTGTTTTTTTAAAAACTATTTTTGTTTCTGTTCTGTTTTGGTAGTGGGGATTGAATCCAGGATGTTGCCCTTGCTAGGCAAGTGCTTTGCCACTGAACTACATCCCAGCTCTTATGGTTTGGATCTTAAGTATTTCCCAAAGGCTCATGTGTTTGCTAGAGGCTTCATCTTCCATGTGATGCTATTGGTGGAGGTGGTGGTTTGGGGGATTGAACTTGGGGCCTGAGAACTATCCCTGACCTTTTCTTTGTTCAAGGCTAGTAGTGCTCTACCACTTTGAGCCACAGGGCCACTTCTGGTTTTCTGGTAGTTAACTGGAGATAAGAGTCTCATGGAGTTTTCCACCAGGGCTGGCTATGAACCACAATCCTCAGATCTCAGCCTCCTAAGTAGCTAGGATTACAGGTGTAAGCCACCAGCTCCCAGTGAAATTTTAAGAGGTGGAGTCTATGGTCTGTAGGTCACTGGAGGCTGGCTCTTAAAGGTGATGATAGGGTCCCAGCTCTCTCTGCTCCCTCTCTTTTTTCCTCTCTATCCATCAGGAAAGCAGCTTTGCTCTGCCACATTCTGCCTTGCCACAGCCCTGGGAGCCAAGGGGCTACCAATGATAAACTGAAACATCCAGAAATGTGGGCCCAAAACCTTTTCCTAAGTTGAATGTTTCAAGTATGTACTGTAGTGACAGAAATCTGACCTAAATTCATTGGCTGTGAGAATACAAAACTGGTTAGCTGCATTTATTAAAGCAAAATCTATGTTTGACCTATGTCTTTAAGTTCATATCGAAGAGAAAATCAGCACTTATGGCCAAGAAGACACAAAGAGAAGTTCACAGATGCTTTATTCATAACGACTCCAAGCTGAAATCAACCCATATGTTCAGCAATAAATAGGAGACTGGATCAATAAATTGCAAGATATTCATATAATGCAATACTGCATAGAAACAAAAATAATAAGTGACTGCAGGATGCAACATCTTGACTGAAAGAATCCAGATACAAAAGATTTTTATAAAGCTGGGCACTGGTGCTCATACCTGTAATCATAGTTACTCAGGAGGCTGAGATCTGAGGACTATGTTTGTTTGTTTTTCTTTTAGTTTTTTTTGGGGGGGTCAGTAGTGGGGCTGACCTCTGAGCCTGGGCACTGTCCCTCAGCTCTTCAGCTCAAGGCAGAAAAGTCTGTGAGACTTACTTCCGATAAATTGCTCAGAGCCACAACTGGTGGTGTGGCTCAAATGGTAGAGAGTACTAGCCTTGAGCAAAAGAAACTCAGAGACAGAGCCCAAGCCCTGAGTTCAAGCTCCACACACAAAGAAGATTTTTTTTTTTTGGGTCCGGTTGTGGGGCCTGAACTCTGGGCCTGGGCGCTGTCCCTCAGCTCTTCAGCTCAAGGCTAGCGCTCTACCGCTTGAGCCACAGTGCCACTTCTGGCTTTTTTCTTTTTGCTTATGTGGTGCTGAGGAATCAAACTCAGGGCCTCAGGCTTGCAAGGCAAGCACTCTACCACTGAGCCACCTTCCCAGCCCACAAAGAAGATTTTCATATTAGGTTGTATTTATTCTTACATTTATATTGTGTTCAAAAACAGAGAAAACTATGATGACAGAAGTCAGAATAACAGTTTCTTTGGTACTAAGTGGGGGTGGAGGTGCTGATCAGGAGTCTGAGATATTGGGTATGCTTCCTATCTTCATCTGGTTACATGGATGTGTGTGTGTGTGTGTGTGTGTGTGTGTGTGTGTGTGTGTGTACTATGCACACACATTCTGGGGGATGAAGCTAAATTGTGGACATTACAGTTCTACAGAAAACTGGAAATTTTTCCACATTCATGTGGTGTCCAAAGTATAACGGGAACAGGAGTTGGCTTAGCCTTTCCATTGGACCTTTTGGCTCCTCCCTTTGACCCCTCCAGTCAACTGAATGAGCAAGGAGAGCTAGCTTGCCCACAGCACATTGATCCAATGGCCTGACCAAAATCAGCAGGGCTCAAGTTAGCTGGGAAGATGGACAGTCGCCATATCATTGACAGCAGTGTAGATTTAAACTAATAGCATTAGGAAGTAGGGCTATGGAAGGGGGTGGGGAATCCCAAACAAACAGACAGACACTGGGTGTTTTGGCCTCCTAACTCCCAAAGGCAAAATCCCAGGGCTCTTCTTTCATTTGGTCCCACTCATTCTAGCATTCAGAATATTCCCCTTGATGGTGTGTGAGATATTAGAAAAAGAGTGAGTGTGTAACTTAGAGACAGAAGACCTTCCTCACAATGAGAAGGTGGCCCCTTGGCCCTTTTTCCCAGGATCTCAGTCCTGTGGGCTCTTGGCCCAGAAAAACAACTTTTCAATGTGAACAAATGAAGTTGCCTGCTTGGTCTTAGGTAATAGCTGAGAGGTGTAATCAGCAGAAGCCATGGACTGCTCTGGATGTCATTCATTGGTGATGTGTACATAAGAAAGGTTACACTGTCAGGGCTGGCATCCCGGCATCCCTCAACTTCTGTCTTCAGATACTGAATCTAAGCCAGGAATTTGCTGGTTGCTTAATAGCACCCAGCATTGCCTCAATGTAAGCCAAGGGCACTCAGTTTTCAGCAGGGTTTTATTAACTTCTCATGTATTAAAAGCAAAGTGATCTTCCTTTCTAGCTCTGTTGGGCAGGGTGCCTGGCCCCCTGGCCTTCCTCGGAGAGGCCACTCTGCTGCCAGTCAGCTCTGCTTGGCTTGGAGTTTTATCAAGAAGAGCCTGGGAAGTCCTGCTGTGTGCTGAACTGGCCAGGCACATCCCCCTGACCTTCTTTCCAGCCAACCAGCTCTCATAAGTGGGCAGGCTTTGTGTCTGGAGACCCATAGACACATTTGGGTGATTCCTACTGGAATCAGTTGAGCAACCTTTTTCCAGGGCCTCAGCCCGGTTGCAGATGTGAAGCTGCTGGCCAGACGCTGGCTTCCAGTCCTGCAGTCATGGCCAACAGGACCAACGCCTCTGTCCCATACTATATCTATGAATACTACCTGGACTACTTGGACCTCATTCCTGTGGATGAGAAGAAGCTAAAAGCCAACAAATGTAAGTCAGAGCGGGGCAAGCCAGCTAGCCAGTTGTCTGCAACCACTGGGCACATTTGGCTTTCTATTTATTCATTTTCTAGTTTTAGTAAATGTTTCAAATAAGCAAGTCTGCCCAGGGCGCACACAGATATAAGAGTGCGGCTTGAAATGTGTGTGAATTAACCTGCCATTCTCTCCCTGTTCCTTCCTCGCCCGTGTGTGTGTGTGTGTGTGTGTGTGTATGTGTGTGTCAGTCCTACAGCTTGAGTTTATAGAGCCTGGCCACTGTCCCTGAGCATTGCTTTGTTTTGGGTTTTGGTAGTTTATTGGAGATACTACTTGAGACACAGCACCACTTCCAGCTTTTTTTGGTAGCTCATTGGAGGAAATTGCCTCACAGACTTTCCTACCCAAGCTGGCTTTGAATGGTGATCTTCAGATCTCAGCTCCTGAGTAGCTGGGATTATAGATGTGGCCACTGGTACCTGGCTAAGACTGAGCTCACTTTACACATGGACTTTAGGATCATCCCCCGTACTCAAACCCTAGCAACCAAACACTACCTTGTTTCCTCGTGTCACTGTTCTTTCACAAAGATATTGCAAACAGCAACATGGTTTTTTGGAAGTTTGTATCTCTGGACATTTAGGGTGCTTCTAGGATTTTGCTATTGTAAACAATGGCCTTTAGGGAGGGAAAAACTGAGTAACTTCCACTGTTGTGTGTTAAGGGTAAATATCCATGCCATTTATCTGAATAATTAGCTTATTAGAAATAAGAGTCACATGGACTTTTCTGCCTGGGCTGGCTTTGAACAGTGACCCTCAGATCTCAGCCTCCAGGGTAGCTAGGATTACAGGCCTGAGCCACCAGCCCAGGCTTTTTTATTTTTATGTATGTATGTATGTATTTTTGTTGGTCATAGGGCTTAACTCTGGGCCTGGGCACTGTCCCTCAGCTCCTCAGCTCAAGGAGAGAGCTCTACCACTTGAGCCACAGTGCCACCTCTAGTTTTCTGGTTAATTGGAGAAAAGAAAAGAGTCTTTCCTGCCTGGGCTGGCTTTGAACCGTGATCCTCAGATGATAGATAGCCTCCTGAGTAGTTAGGATTGCAGGCATGAGCCACTGGCACCTGGCTCTTTTTTATTTTAAAAGCTTAAGATCTCACTATATTGTTCAGGCAGGCCTCAAAATCATGGACTCAGATAATTGTATTGAATCTACCTCCCAAGGAGCTGGTACTACAAATTATAACAGAACCTTTTCTTCCTTTCTTCTTTGAACACTGAACTTTATTATATATTACTACTAGTTTTTATTAGCATGTATTCTTTGTACATAGAGAGTTAATTGTGAGACTTCTATACATGTATGCTATAAACCTTGATCAAATTCACCCCAATCCCCCCTCTACCATTTTTTTTTTTTTTGGTCTGGTTGTGGGGCCTGAACTCTGGGCCTGGGCGCTGTCCCTCCGCTTTTCAGCTCAAGGCTAGCGCTCTACCACTTGAGCCACAGCACCACTTCCGGCTTTTTTCTTTTTGCTTATGTGGTGCTGAGGAATTGAACCCAGGGCCTCATGCATGCAAGGCAAGTGCTCTACCACTGAGCCAACTTCCCAGCCCCCTCCCCTACCATTTTTAAAACAGTTTCAACTGTTTCATAGTTCAGAAACTTTTCTAGTGCTTTTTCCTGGGACCAGTTTTGGACCACGCTCCTCCTACCCCTATCTCCAAAGTAGCTAGGATTCCAGTGTAAATGACTATGCCCAGCTTGTTTTTGAGACAGGAACTCACTAACTTTTGCCTGAGCTGGTCTCTAACTCCAAGTCTGTCTAACTGAGTAGCTGGGATTGTAGGAATGTATTTCCAAGCCTGGTCATAGTCCACCATTGTGAATGGGGAAAGGAAGGAAAGAAAGAGTAGAAAGGAGGAGAAAAGGAAGGAGTGGAGAAGGGGAAAGAGAGCAAGAAGGAGGAGGATAGGAAGAAGAAGGGAGAGGGAAGAGGAAAGAATAGGAAGGGAAAGGCTAGGGAATATTTTCCATAAACACATCAGTCTATTGTCAACACAGACTGGGCTCCCTTTCACAAAAACAAGCCTGTGGGTGTTAAAACAGTTCCGATACCTAGGAATGACAGTTCTTGTTCTCAGAACAAAATGTTCTGAGTACTCAGGGTGAATGTTCAGCAGAAGAGGAAAAAAGAAAAAACAAACTTATTTTCTTGGTCTTTTTTTTTCCCCCCAAGAGAACATGAGGACAGTGAATTTAGTACAGAAAAGGACTGATAACTCCTGTTGTCTTTTGGGTCTGAGAAAATTTAAATTTCACTTATCCAAAGGCAAGGCGTCCCCTCCTTTCCTGCCGAGCATGGGGAAAAGCAGACAAGTGTGAGTTTGGAGGGGTCACATCTGCTGTCCTCCATCTTCTCCTGTTCGAAAACATCTCACTACGACGCAGCCATGGCTGGCCTTGAAGTCCCAATCCTCCTGCCTCGGCCTCCCAAGTGTAAATGTACGGTCACAGGTGTGCTCCATGCTGCCCTGCCCCAAGGCAGTTTCTTTAGAATAGATCTTAAGCGCTAAGAACCTGAAACCCTTCCCAGTTTTTACGGGGAAGAAAAGAGCACTAATGTCTGCAGAAAACCCAAGCCACATTTCCCCAAAGTACCTACTATCTTATACCTTGAATGTCATAACACAAGTTTTAACTCTGAGAGTGGAAAGAGGGGAATGATACAACACATTCACTATCATTATATTCCTTGGTAGAAGAATCATAGCTTTGTCCTTTTTTACTGAAGGTTCACCCAGAGTGCTGAGAGATCCTTTTCTCATTCAAGGAAAGCTGAGAAGGTTAAAGGTATCTTGATGTAGGGACTGGTGGCTCACGCCTGTAATCCCAGATACTTGGGAGGCTAAAAACTGGAAGATTGAGGTTATAAAAGCCAGTTTAGGTTGAAAAGTCCAAGAAACAGTCTGCCTCTCACTCACTAGCGAAGAGCAAGATTGGAGGAGTGCTCAAGAGCACACTAGCTGAGCAAGTGTGAAGCCCTGAAGTCAAACCCCTGTACTAGCATATACATACATACATACATACATACATACATACATACATACAGGATGTTCTTGAACTTAGAACACAGAGGACTCCATTTTCCACTTCTCAGGAACCCAGAACTACTTACTGTCAGTTTCTCAGCTGAGGAACAGGAAGATCAGACAGGAAATATGGCCTGGGGTATTTGCTCCTCTGCCTTCCAGCCGGTGCTCTATCACTGAACCGTGCCTCCAGCCCCAGTCTTTTGTTGGTTATTTTGGAGATAGATTCTATTGAACTTTTCTGCCTGGATTGGCCTCAAACCGTAATGCTCCAGATAATCAGCCTCCTAAGGACCTAGTGCACCACTAGCATTTCACTTATCCACGATCAATTTTTTTTTTGCCAGCCCTGGGGCTTGAACTCAGGCCTGGGCACTGTCCCTGAGCTTCTTTTGCTCAGGATAGTGCTCTACCACTTGAGCCATAGCACCTGGCCTTTTCTGTTTATGTGGTACTGAGGAATTGAACTCGGAGCTTCATGCAGGCTAGGCAAGCACTCTACCACTGAGCCACATTCCCAGCCCCAAGATCAATTTTTACAAGACCCGTTTTTGCTTCAACCCATCTGTGGCTGAGGACACAGATGGCACCTTTTTCTCAAATACAATCAGCACTCAGTAATCATGGGTAGAGATTAGTTGGAAAAAAATTGCATTCATAATGTACAGATTTTACTCTTTTCTTTATTCAGCACACAATATATCAACTATTTACTTGGCATTCCCATTGTGTTGAGTGTTACAAGTAACTGCGAGAGGATTTCAAGAGTACAGGAGGATGTGAGTAGGTTATATGCAGATACTACAGCGTTATATATGAGATTTGAGCATCCAAGAATGCTAATACTCTCATGAGGTTCTGGAACCCAAGAGCCATGGATTCTGAGCACTGAAGTACCATTTTCACCCCCAGAATGCCACCTCCCTCTCTACTTAGATACTCATAAATCTCTAACCCCCACTTATTCCTTTGAATGGTTGTTCTTTTGTTCAATTTTTTACTCATTCATATGTATATTTTTTGTTTGGATACAACACAAAACCTTTCTTTGCTAAAACAAGACCAGGCCAATGTCCTGGCCAGCAGAAGGTGCTTTACTAAGTACTTGTTTGTGTAATCTCAAACATCTGCCAAACCTCTCCCAGTTTGGACGTCTTATCCTGAGGGCATCCACCTGCTCTGCATTAAGTGCAGACTTGAATTAAGAGCCTGAGACCTCGCGCTCACAGCCACAGATGACCACCAAGAAAACCTCTGTAGTGGAGCAGCCCTAGCCACTTGTTCCCAATCTGAAGCCCCAGAGAAGAGAGCCCCTGACCTGTCAGCATCTATCCAGAATCCCAAGACCAGCTTGAGTGTGTTTTCTGGTTCCCTTTGGAGGCACAAATGCAGTCAGTGTTGGCTATTTAAAGTGCTAGTCCTTTCTGACACCTTGTATCTTAAAGAGAGGGACTAGCCCTTTTTTATTTTTATTTTTTTTGCTGGTCCTAGGGTTTGTACTCAGGGCCTGGGCTCTATCTCTGAGCTTCTTTTGCTCAAGGCTAGCACTCTACCACTTGAGCCACAGCACCACTTCTGACTTTTTCTGTTTAGTTTATTGGAGAGAAGAGTCTCGTGGACTTTTCTGCCCAGGCTGTCTTCAAACCACCATTCCCAGATCTTAGCCTCCTGAGTAACTAGGATTATAGGTGTGAGTCACCAGCGCCCGGCTGCCACTAGTTCTTTCTATCTCCCTACTCCTACTGAGTACACTGGTCACAGAAGGCCTCACCATATGCGTCCTCCTCCAGGTCTCTTTTGGGGCCGTAAGGCTGCTCCATTGGCCCTCCAAAGGACCCTGGTGGCTGTCCCTCTCCCTGACCTATAAAAGAAAGGGAAGGAGGGAAACTGATCCTTAGGACTCTTCCTTTGAGCCGCAGAGCAGACAGGCATTGATTTATGGGGAGCCACACAATTCCACTCACTATTTCCCCTCAACAGATAACACCTTAAACTGCTCTGGACCAAAGTCACTTCCTGGTCTCCCTGTTCCTTCCCAAGGTTGTGACAGGAAAACCTTCCCAGTAGTCCCAGCTAAGAGGCTGAATGAAGAGAGAATAGCTCCACGCATGGCTCTGGTTCTGCCATGCTGGGGGCTCCCTGTTCCCTGAGGTCTGAGGGCTGGGTTAACGTTGCTATCAAGCCAACATGGAAACCGTTCTGCTCCTCCCACAGATTCCATCGTCATTGCGTTTTGGGTGAGCCTGGCTGCTTTTGTGATGCTCCTCTTCCTCATTCTGCTCTACATGTCCTGGCCAGGCACCCTGCAGATGAGGTGAGTCGGAAAGGGAATATTTGGGCAACTCAGATGCTGAAGAGTAGGAATTAAAAACAACTACGACATACTGATTCATGCTACATCATCATAGAGTCATGTGCCATCTAATACCGTGATTGTCACCAGAGAACCATGCATATGATGGTGGTTCCCTAAGGTTGTATGACTGCCTAAAAACATGGTGCTAAGCCGGGCGCTGGTGGCGCACGCCTGTAATCCTAGCTACTCAGGAGGCTGAGATCTGAGGATCGCGGTTCAAAGCCAGCCCGGGCAGGAGAGACCGTGAGACTCCTATCTCCAATAAACCACCAGAAAACCAGAAGTGGTGCTGTGGCTCAAGTAGTAGAGCGCTAGCCTTGAGCTGAAGAGCTCAGCGACAGCGCTCAGGCACAGAGTTCAAGCCCCACAACCGAAAAAGAAAATAATTATAAACCAAAAAACATTGTGCTAGGAGCTGGGAATGTGGCTCAGTGGTAGAGTGCTTCCCTAGCATGCATGAAGCCCTGGGATCAATTCCTCAGTCCCACATAAACAGAAAAAGCTAGTTCAAGTGGTAGAGTGCTAGCCCTGAGCAAAAGAATCTTAGGGACAGTGCCCAGGCCCTGAGTTCAAGCCCCACGACTGGCAAAAAAAAAAAAAAAGCCTTTGTACTAAACTGGGCACCAGTGGCTCATACCTGTAACCCTAGCTACTTAGGAGGATGATATCTGAGGATTGCAGTTCAAAGCCAGCCCAAGCAGGAAAGTCCATGAAACTCTGAGCTCCAATTATCCACCAGAAAACCAGAAATGGTGCTGTGGCTCAAAGTGATAAAGCACTAGCCTTGAGCAAGAAAGCTCAGCATCCAGGCCTCCCTGAGTTCAAGCCCCACAAGGGACCAAAAAAAAAGCATTGTGCTAAAGATGGAAAAAAGAAAATAAAACAAAATTTAAAAAAACCCAAACAGCCGGGCACCGGTGGCTCACACCTGTAATCCTATCTACTCAGGAGGCTGAGATCTAAGCATCATGGTTCAAAGCCAGCCCAGGCAGGAAAGTCTGTGAAACTCTTGCCTCCAATAAGCCACTAGAAAACCAGAAGTGGAGCTGTAGCTCAAGTGGTAGAGTGCTCGCCTTGAGCTGAAGAGCTGAGGGACAGCGCTCGGGCCCAGAGTTCAAACCCCATGACTGACAACAACAACAACAAAACATCATGCAAAGTAAAAGAAGCCAGACAAAAAAGACCATACATCCTGTGACTTTCATTTCCCTGAAGTGTACAGAATCATCAAATCCAGACAGAGAGAAAGCAAGTTGGAGGTCATGTAGGGCTGGAGGTGGATGGGAATGCGTGAGTATGGGAATGATAAAACCCCTCAGCGGTCTCAGCAATGGCGCCTTTGCCAGCTGGGCTGACCCTCCTCAGGGGTCTCCGCTCTCTGGGCCTTCCCTGGGGGCTCTGGAAAGGTGGGGAGAGCGGACATGAGATGACAGAGGAAAGCCCTCAGCTAGGGACTCTTGCTCAGCCAGTTCCTTTAATGCCATTTCCTGGGTCCACAGGAGTGATCCCCAGAACCACCAAACCTGCTCATGGACTCACAGCCTCAACCTCCCCTCCTGTATCCGAAGCATTTCCCAGGGGACACCAGAGGAGCCCCTAAGTGAGACTGGTGCTGGCCAGCGACCACAGCAGGAGAACCCCTCCGCCTCACCTCCAGTGGTCCCCACAGCTCTCCTTGGGATACAGGTCCTGGATGGGGGCCGCAGAGCACCAGCTGAAGTCACAAACAAGCCTAGGGTGGGCTGAGTTCAGAGACAGAACTGACATCAGCAAAGCAGTCTTACCTGCGTGAACTGGTGAAATCAAACCAACCGGGACATGGGCTGTTCGCAGGTAACAGAAAATGTGACCACGCCAAGAACCACTCCACAAGGAGACACGCCGCATGTCTTCAGCAAAGGCTTGCCAAGGCCCCCTAGAGAAGTTGTTCCAGATGTGGCTGCTTTTACTTCGCATGCTTTAATCCTGCTTATGCTTTGAGACAGGTCGGTAGATAAACTACACATACATTAAAAACGAGTATTTACTCAGCTTTACCTTTACTTTCTGCTCACTCACCTGTTAGAATGCAGGGGATGCTCACAAAGCTCCCACACATCTTCCAGGGACACCCAGTGCTCGAGATATGGCAGCATCTGCCCTGCCAGGCCAGTTTACCCACATCACATCTCTGCCTCCAGCCCGAGGGTGGCAGAAGTGAACAGCCTGTCCTGACAACAAGCCGAGTGGTGTCCCATTCTAGATGCTACTTTCTGTGACCTGGGATCTCACAGTCCCGAAGCTCTAGAGCTTTAGGCTCCAGCCCTGGCCCAGGGGAGTGAGATGGCTGCATGCTGCAGGGCCCAAAAAGCCACAAGTACCACCACCAGCTCTCAGGCAGGGAAGTGATGGGTTTATTTAAAAAGTAACTTGTCTTTTCCCACCACAATATTTAAGCCACAGTTGTCTCTCTGGATCCACATGTGGACGTGGATGTTTTAGAACCCTCCAAGGATGTCCACTGCCACACAAGTCTTTTCTGTAAAAAGACCTAGTGTTCACACAGGATCTGTGATTACTTGCAGAAAGCAATATGGAATAAATGCTAGGTAAACAGTTGTGCCAGATGCAGATGGCTCATGCCGGTAATCCTAACTACTCAAGAGGCTGAGATCTGAGGATGCTGGTTCAAAGTCAGCGTGGGAAACCAAGTCCATGACAGTCATCCCCAATTAGCCAGCAGAAAGTCAGAAGTAGCTGGGTACCTGTAATTCCAGCTACTCAGGAAGCTGAGATCTAAGGGTCACGGTTCGAAGCCAGCTCAGGCAGAACAGTTTGTGAGACTCTTATCTCTAATAAACTACTTAGAAGCTAGAAATGGTGCTATGGCTCAAGTGGTAGAGTGCTAGCCTTGAGCACAAAGAGGCTTAGAAATAGTATGCAGGCCAAGTTCAAGCCCCCAGGACCAGCAAAAAAAAAAAAAAAAAAAAGCAAGCCAGAAATAGAGATGTGGTTCAAGTGGTAAAACACCAGTCTTAAGCAAAAAAGCAAGGTGACAAATGTGAAGCCCCGAGTTTAAGTCCTAGCACCCATTAAAAAAAAAACCAAAATGTTTGCATGTTTGAAACTGATACAATATTTTCTTTTAAGTATTTTCCATCTGGAGTTGGTTGAACACTTGGGCCTGTGGATCTGGAGGGAGGCTGTGTTTATAATTCAGCATTTTGCATTTATTAGTCTTGAATGTACATTGTATTCTTGGTGGGATGAAACTTCTACCCTATTGACTACGGAACAATTCCACAGGGTGAGAGGCAGGGATGGCTTTGCCATGGTCAGGGGCGGGGATTTAGAAAAGAAGATGATGGTGAAGAAGACTGGAGAACTCAAGGGAGAAAAAGGACCACCCTGCTGTAATGATGTGTCCTCCAATAACCAAGCTGTAACACAGCATGGAAGTCCTTGTCACCTGTAGGCCACTCGTTTCCATCCTGGGTAGCTCCAGGAAAGCTCTGCAGAAAGACAAAGGGAGTCAAGTCACGAGCTGCACGGGGCACTGGGACAGAGCTGCCTGGCAATGTCATCTCCAGGATCCATGACTGAAGGTAGTCTATAGAGGGTGGCAGGAGTAGGCACACTCAGTACCTTGGGAGTTAGAACAAAGGAGATGGTTGAGGGCTGGAGCCTGTGACACTGCATGCCCCAGTCCCTGCCCTGCCACTCAGTCCCCCTCTCTGCACACTAGTCAGAAGGGACTTGTAAGTGAGTATCTCAACAAACACGCAACACAACGCATAAAAGGAGAAGGGAAGTTTGGCCTTTGCAGGGACAGCATAGGTGTGAGTCTACCTAGAATCTAAAGGTATGATTCAACTCCAAATTTTTTTGCCAGTCCTGGGGCTTGAACTGGGGGCCTGAGCTTTATTCCTGAGTTTCTTTTGCTCAAGGCTAGCACTCTACCACTTGAGCTACAGTGCCTCTTCCAGCTTTTTCTATTTATGTGATACTGAGAAATCGAACCCAGGGCTTCATGCCTGCTAGGTAAGCACTCTACCACTAAGCCACATTCCCAGCCCACATCTATCAAATTCTGTGCTGATGTTAGCAGCGACAATACCTGCTAACATGAGATCATTGTTGTGCTCAAGGCTGGTACTCTACTACTGAGCCACAGCTCCATTTCCAGATTTTTGCAGGTGAATAGGAAATAAAAGAATCTCACAGATTTTTCAGACTGGGCTGGCTTGGCCCCTCAATTCTCAGATCTCAGTCTCTTGAGTAACTAGGATTACAAGCGTGAGCTACCAGTACCCAGCTAGCATGTGATCCTTAAAAGTCAAATTCTGACCTATAATCATCATGTCTCTGGAATAAGAAAATAGCCTAGTAACATAAAGAAAAAGACAAAAGTCTTACAAAACTATACATTTATTATCAAGGTATTATAAAATGCAAATCCCCTCTTTGATATACAACAACAATATAGACTGTCTTCTCAAAGCAGAAGTCAGGTCATTTTATACTTTAAGAAGTTAGCATAACACACTTGGATTTAATAAGATAATCAGCAAACTGGTGGGAATTCATTCAGGGGCATACATAAAATACTGTTATGGCTTCTTTATGGTAGACTTTCCCCCCTTATATTTTAGCTTTCACATCAGGAGTCTGTTCAGAACCCACAAGATTCCACAGCTTGAGGAATCCCCCTGGGAAGACCAACTGGAGAAGAGGATTTTGCCTACTTGAACCCCGAATAGAGTTGGGGTCCTGAAGTATCCACATTCCTTACAGCTCTGACTACTTGGTACACAGTCCCCTTGAGTTTATTTGTCCTATTTTAGAATTTATTGCTGGCCCTAAGGCTTGAACTCAGCATCTAGGAGCTGTCCCTTAGCTTTTTCGCTCAAGGGTGTACTCTACTACTTGAGCCACAACTCCACTTCTGGCTATTTGCTGATTGGTTGGAGATAAGAGTCTCATAGACTTTCCTGTCCAGGTTGGCTGTGAACTGAGATCCTTAGATCCTCCCAAGTAGACAGGATTACAGGTCTGAGCCACTGGTGTCCAACTGGGTTCCTTGAGCTTATTATTTACTGATCAGTTAGTTATAGTCCTTTCAACTCTTCTTGTTGGAAAACCAAATTGATGCATGGACTGGTCATTTCACACCTTCTCTGAAAATGCTGTCTCAGCCAAACTTCTCAAACCTGGTGCCTGGGCACTGGTCGGCAGGGTGGGAAATGGCACCAGCCGGGTGTCAAGCCTCTAAGGCCGAGGTGGCCAGGTCCTTGCAGAGAACGATGATGGCCTCCTCCTCACCACCTGGCACGTCTTCTGCAGCCTCACAGACCATGCGGACGTGGGTTAAGAGGGTGTTTGGCCGTGGGGCCTCCAGCCAGACGTCCTTCACATACAGAGACACCAGGAAGGCTGCGGAGGCTGAGGAAGACAGACAAGGCTGTTACGACGTGCCCTCACCCTGCCCACAAGGCATCCTGGCTTTGCTAAGTGGCCAGGGGACCTGTGGCATCCCCAGCAGTGTCTACGGTTAAGACCAACTAACTTTGCCTTGCTTAACTTTGATGTCAATCTTTTTATTCACTTAAAAACGTACCTGCCTTCTGATAAGTGTAATCAAATCTTAACGAGAAAGGACTGCACGTCAGGTCCCTATGTGGTCTGACCACTCATGCCCAACCGTGAGCACATCCAGGTCATTTAAATGTCCCAACAGTATGGGGAAGAGGTAGAGGCCCCTCAGGCTCACACTCCATCCCTGGCTGCAGCCAGACACCAGAAGGTCATTCTCTGCTCCAGGTGAGTTCGCCTTCCCCGCTGGCTGGCCGGCCCCTCCCCATCCCTCACCCTGCTGGACGGAAGGAGCCAAGTGCTCTTCTATCATCTAAGCCAGTACCACTCGCTCCGTCCCTCTCCCTGCACTTCTCAGGCAACTCAGAGCACCGACTGACTGGCCTGCACGTGTGAATGGGTGTGTGCTCACTTGCACAATTGCCTGGCCAAGGAACACCCAGTACTGCTCTGCAGGAAGCAATCCTGAAGGGACTCTCTGTGGTCCCAAGGGGCCTTTTTCCATAACATGATCCTATTGAGGCATACTTCCTCTTCCTCACACTCGCTGCCAAAAGGCACCAGAATATACCCACCACACTGGAGGAGGCTAAGGAACAGGTTTCCCCTTCCCCATCCCCCAGACATTTCTGGAGCTTTTGTACCTCGTGTGGCTTCATCCTTCCCACTCAGAGAGGCAGTGCACAGGGCCTCCATGGCGGGGTGGAAGGGGCCCTCTGCCCGGCCCTGGGCCTCCACCAGCTGCAGCATGACGGTGTTGAACAGGCAGGTCACATCCTGCGCAGGCCCTGTCAGCCCCTCAGCACTGCACAGGCGACAATACAGCTTAAACATGCTGCTTTTCACAGCACTGTCCTTGAGAAGGTCGGCCACCACCACTGGGTGTGGCAAAATGTGGCTCTTGAGCCAGCCAAGGAGCCCGGCAGCCTCTGTCCTGCTGAGTGGGCACTGGGCCACCGAGCGTAGCACCCAGCTGACCACTAGGGAAACAGCAGTGTACACAGGGATTGGTGCTTCACTCTGGGGACCAGCCCCGTCTGTGGGATCCTCAGTGGGGCCGGGGACCACTGGCTCCCAGTGGGTCAGTATGGACCTCACGAGGTCCCTGCATGTCTGCAAGCCAGATTCATCCAGCTCAGGGTTGGCCATCTCTTCTGCCTCCACAGGTCTCTTCTTGCGGGGCCGAGGGCCTCTGGCTCGGGATGGCATGGCGGGCCTGTTCTTATCCTTAAGCATTTCTGTTAAACGCAGGGGAAAAAAGGCAGTGAGACTTGTGTCTCCCATGTCCACTGGTTCTCCTCAAAGAAAGAGGGGCGGCTCCTAGGTCCTGGGCACCCTGCACTGTTCCAAGAGACCCTCTGCTATTCACAACAATGGCACAAATCCCCCTGCCACTATTCCTGTATATGTGGGAGGCTGAGGAAGGAGATTGCTTGAAACCAGAATTTAAGACAAGTCTGAGCAATATAGCCAGCTCCTACCCCCACATCCCGCCGCCATCATCTCAACACATACACACACAACAGAGACCCGTGGGCAGCAGCATTACAGCCCGAGTCCAGCAGGCCTGGGTCCAGTCTGTTCTTTCGACACCATAGTATAAATGATATGGAAACAAGCAGCTTTTCGTCATGAGCTACCACCATGACAAGCAAATGGTGTGATATTTAGTGTTATAGTTTGGATCCTAGATGTCCCTCAAAGATCCCATGTTCAAGGACTGGTCCCTGATGCATTAGTGTTTAAGAAGTTGATCTACTGGGAAGTGGTTGGATCAAGAGGGCTCTGGCTTACTGACTTACGGGGGTGCTGGTGGCTTACGTCTATAATCCTCACTACTCAGGAGGCTGAGATCTGAGGATCACAGTTCAAAGCCAGCCCAGGCAGGAAAGTCCATGAGACTCATCTCCAATTAATAAGCAAAAGAACCCACCAAAAGTGGAGCCGTGAGTCAAGTGGAAGAGTGCCAGCGTTGGGTGAAAAAACCCATGAACAGCGCCCAGGCCCTGAGTTCATGCTTCGTGTGTTCTTGGGAAGCGGCAGAAACTTTAGGTGGCACTGAGGAGGAAGAGCATGCAGGTCACTGGGGACGTGCTTCTTGCCCGAAGCCGCCTTCTGTCTGCCTGGTGTCTATGAGGTGACGGCTCTGCTCTACCACAGCTCCCCTGAACATGACCTGCAGGTGACCATGGACTGAAACCTCTGGGGCAGTCAGTCTCTCCTGCTGTTGGCAGGCCAAGTGACCTTAACCTAAAAGTTCAAAGCTTCTAAGAGCAGGGCTGCTGGCAAAGCCAGGCCTGCCCGTGAGCTTTGGAAACGCTGCTCAGGCAGGGGAGATGGCAGCTGCTGTGGGTGGGCTGTGGCGGTTCTGACACTTACTCATCAGGTCCCTGGCTTGGCACTTCTCAATGGCTGCTCTCAGGTCTTCTTGGAGCTTGAGGTCTCTCTCGATGAGACTCCACTTGTGCAAGAGGACCAGGACGTCCTTGGTGGAAAGCACCATCTCGTTCGCGGTGAATCGGCCCATATCCTTAAATGCCCTCAAGACCGTGGCCCGGTACCTCAGCACGGACTCAAGTGTCCCAAAGAAGCTGGTCAGGTGGGCGGAGCCCAAGGTGGGTCTGTTGGGAAGCCGGTGTTATAGACTAAGTAAAAGTTGCCCCTGTCCTGGTGACCCAGAACTGGAGTGGTTGTAGACATCACAGGCCATCCAGAACCAGGCTTCACTTACAACAGACACCTAACATGGACCCAGGACACAGGAGAGGAAAAAGTGAGCCCTCTGAGGCATGTCCACTATTTCAGAGGAAGAGAAACCTCTCTGAAACCTTGGCTAAATGGGGTAGCCAGGCAGAAAGCTCAGGGGTCAGGCTCCAAGAGTCACCCTGAATTCCACTCCAGGATTGCTCCTTCCTGTCCACTGCGGGACTGGTGGCCTCCAGTGAAAAAGGCCCAGGAAGGCCCCAGGGCAGCACTGACCAATGGGCAAAGCCTGACTGATAGCTAGTGGGAAGAAATGAATTCTAAGGAATGTACAACGCACTAACAACTGACCCACATGAGGTTAAAAGGGAAGCCATTAATTCAAGGAACAATCAGTTCTCAGACAGGAGTGGCTTGTCTTCTGACAATACCAAAGAAAGAAACACCTCAGGCCAGCAGTTTCTTAATTTGGGAGAATATGAAACAAAACGTTCTATTCTTTTTTTATTTTTATTTTTGCAGGTCTTGGGGCTTGAACTCAGGGCCTGGGTACTGTCTCAGGCTCAAAACCAGTGCTCTATCACTTGAGCCACTGCCCCAATTCTGCCTTTTTCTGAGTACTTCCATTAGCGATAAAAGTCTCAAGGACATTCCAAGTTCAGGCTAGCTTCAAACCACTACCCTCAGATCTCAGCCTCTTGAGAAGCAAGGATTATAGGCGTGAGCCACCAGTGCCCAGTTTTCATTATTATTTTTTACTTTTACTTCTTTTTTTTTTAAACCTCCTCAGGCTGGGCACGGTAGCTCATGCCTATAATCTCAGCTACTCAGGAGACAAAGATCAAGAGGACTGAGTTTTGATACCAGCTTGGGCAAAAAGCTGGCTAGACTACCATCTCAGTCAATATTCTGGACATGTTGGTAATGCTGTAACCCCAGCCACCTGGGAGGCACAGGGAAGAGGATTATGGTCCAAGGAGGCCAGAGGGGGAAAAAGGCAAAACCCTACTAAAGCAATGTGGCTCAAGAGGAGAGCCCTGGACTAACAAGCATGAGGCCCCCGAAACCCTAGTACACTCAGAGAAAAAGAAACTTCATTCTGAGTACCACGATCTTGCTGGGAATCTTCTGGCTTGTGAGCATATAACAGTTCCCATTGGAAATAGGAGAGCACATGACACATTTCTCTGGATTATGATGGAAAAACTCAGAAGCCTGATTCCAAAGGAGCAGATGAAACCATCAGTAGGAAAGTCCCTCAGACTCTAATGTCCAATAAGCCAGCAAATAGCTGAAAGTGAAACTGTGGCTCAAGGGACAGAGCCCCAGCCTTGAATGAAAAGCAAAGGACAGCTCCAGGCCTTGAGTTCAAGCCCCAGTACTGCACAAACAAACAAAAGAAAAGAAAATATTATAATCAACAAGGAAGTTCAAGTCACGTGAGTATTCACAGGCTAGCAGAGGCAGAGGGGCAACTTGGGAATGCCTTGTCTTAGTTAAGGTCATAGAAAATGTGCTCTGTGAAACTTCACTTTATTTCAGTCAGGGGTTAAATAAAAACATACAGGTAGGTAGCTTGTTGGCTAAAAATGACCTGGTATGATACATACGGTGTTATAAAACTGTGCTAATTTCTACTGGGCGCCAGTGGCTCATGTCTGTAATCCTAGCTACTCAGGAAGCTGAGATCTGAGGACTATGGTTCAAAGCCAGCCCAGGAGGAAAGTCTGTGAGAATCCTATCTCCAATTAACCACCAGAAAACTGGAAGTGGCGCTGTGGCTCAAGTGGTAGAGCGCAAGCCTTGAGCTAAAAAACTCAGGGACAGCACCCAGGTCCAGAGTTTAAGCCCCACAACTGACAAAAAAAAAAAAAAGAGCTCATTTCTCAGCACCCTCAAGTTATAAAGTGGAAATAAAAAATAGGTCACTCGTACCTGACACCCTCACCCTGGCCTGGTCCACACAGTCTACAACTCTGAGCCTGCCTGTGGGGTTGTCCACAGGTGACAGAAAGGAACGCACAAGCAGCGCTGGCCATCAGTCTCAGGGGCCCAGCGGAAGACCCCTGGGGAGGACAGGCTCACCTCAGGTGCTTCATGAGCGCAATGAGGACATAGAGGAACTCGCTGACCAGGTGCAGGGCAAGCAGCTTGCGGGGCCTCTGGCCAGGCTGGCAGGGCAGTGGGTTCTCCTCCTCTGCTCCCTTGTCTCCCAGGTTGGTCACCCACAGTGAGTGAAGCAAGGAAATGACATTCGAGAGAAGCTGAGTCTCCAGAAACCTGCAACCAAGCATGGTAGACATCAAGCTCTGCCACATCCTCTCCTGTCTGTGGGGAGGTGGAGAGATGTGGCGAGACATACCGTGAAGCAGATGGGACACGTGGGGGCCTGGCAGCCTCCTCAATCCCCTTGCTGCTCTCCCTCTGCCTGCCCCCAAATTACATCCTCTGAGTAAAAAGAGTAATTGTCCAAAAGCAGCTCTGACACAGGACCAGTGCACATGCTGCTTTCTGCCCAGAGGCCTGCCCTCAGTCCTTCCAGGATAGTAAAAGCTGTCCTGTTTATGATAGTTAACTAGAACAGTAAAACAATGTGAGCCAGGGACCGACAACTGGCCAGTCACGCCTTCTGAAAATCTAAGTCTTATGTCTGGTGTCCCAAGACAGTTAGGACACTACTTCTTTTTAGAAGAACCTAAAAGAAAGACTTTAAGGCTGGGCACTGGTGACTCAAACCTGTAATCCTAGCTGTTTAGAAGGCTGAGATCTAAGGATCATGGTTTAAAGCCAGCCAGGCAGGAAAAGTCTATGAGATTCTTATTTCCAATTAACCACCAAAAAAGCTGGAAATGGAGCCGTGACTCAAGTGGTAGAATGCTAGCCCTGAGCAAAAAAAATCTCAGGGGAAGGGTCCAGGCCCAGCAGCAGTAACAAAAAAAAAAAAAAAAAAGAGAGAGAAAAACAAAATTTTTTTTTTTTTGGGTCCGGTCGTGGGGCCTGAACTCTGGGTCTGGGCGCTGTCCCTCAGCTCTTCAGCTCAAGCTAGCGCTCTACCACTTGAGCCACAGCGCCACTTCTGGCTTTTTTCTTTTTGCTTATGTGGTGCTGAGGAATCGAACCCAGGGCCTCAGGCATGCAAGGCAAGCACTCTACCACTGAGCCAACTTCCCAGCCCCGAAAAAAAAATCTTATAGGAGCTGGGTGCCAGTGGGCAGTGGGTAATCTTAGCTACTCAAGAGGCTGAGATTTGAGGATGACAAAAATGTCCATGAAACTCTTAGCTCCAATTAACCAGTGAAAAGTCACAAGTAGAGCTGTGACTCAAGTGGGAGAGCACTAGCCTTGAATGAAACACCCAAGCAACAGTGCCCAGGCCTAAGTTCAAGTCCCACTGCCAACACACACACACCCCTTTAAGGGCTTGGACAGCCCTGACATACAGACACACAGACACACAGACCCTTTAAGGGTTTGGGTAGCCCTAGGCTTGTTACAGTAGTCATTTGCCAGTGACAGAGCCCTCCTGCTACTTGCTACTGGTATAGCAGGTCCTTCCAAAGGGCCTCATGTCCAATCTGGAATCCACACCAGGCCCTCAACAGTGCAGTCTGGGCCTGTTATCAAGAATGAAGACACCACAACCGACCTCAGGGACTTTGTAAGGAGCCTTCTTAAAGCTGAAGTTTCCTGTTGAGAGGCTGCAGTCATTTGGGTCTCAGAGGACAGGACATTTCCACGGCCACCAAAGCCTGTGGGAGTTCCGCTGCCACCACACCACCTTCTTGCCAGATACATCTCTGAAGTGACTTACTTGCTCTCAAGGATGTGTAAAATCCATGTTAAAAGGCTGTAGTCCCGAATGGTTTCATAGGCAGATCTGGCAATCTGAGCAGCTTTCTGTAGAATTTCTAGAATCCAATTCTAAAAACCCAAAACAAAGACAGCCCTGAGTGGTGGGAGGGCTTCAAGCAAACTTATTTGGCCAAAGACATGAGTTTAGGAAGTCCTGGCACGCTGTGGTGACAAGTGGTGGTGTGCATGAAGACTGCTGGGCCACGTGTGAGGGCAGTGACTTGTGGACAAGCCTTCTCACTAGGAACAGCCAGACTTGCAGCCAGCAGCAGCCTGGGGAGTCCCCGCCCCTGCTCCCCCATCATGAGATATCTACACACAGCGAAGACGCAGAAGACACCACACGGCCAGATGTGTGCCACCCACTGCAGAGAACAAGGCCCATTTCTAGCCCAGCTGTGCGCTGCCTGCACCCCATTTTGTCCCATTTCATTACCTAGAATGGGGGCCGTGAACATGGGATTACCCCAAATTGTTCACTGGATACTTTTGAATTCTCACAGCATGTCCAAATCCCATTTATTCCAATGTGTTTCTAAATCATAATTCATTCTTGCGCCCTCACATTTTACATGAGATCAGAAAGAAAAGTTGACCAGGGTACGAACTCATTAAAATATCAGAGGCCCTACCTATGTTCCTCCTTTAACAGTCTGTGCACTTGGAAAATGCACATAAGCTCTCAGTGTGATGGGACACAGCTGGGAAGCCTGGCAGATCCAACTCTTATTTCCTGAAAAGTGTGTGTTGGGGGAGCAGGGGTGGGGGTGGGGGACATGCGTGCGTGTGCTGGTACTGAAGCTCAAAGTCAGAGCCTGGGCGCTGTCTGTCAGCATTTTTGCTCAAGGCTGGCACGCTACCACTTAAGCCACAGCTCCACTTCTGGAATTTTAGTGGTTAACTGGAGACGAGTCTTAGCTTCCTGGTCAGCTCTATGGGTTTTCAATCACTGGCTAGTTCCTTCCCTGTGATGGCAAAGCAGAGGCCTTCTTATCAGCCAAGGTCTCAGCAAGAGGGTCACAGTGAAAACCATTCCATCCAGGGACAAACGATAGTGGATGTCACACAGCTGGTGTGTGCCACGAGCAGGCAGCAGAACAGACCTGAACAAAACCTTATTTTTTTTTTATTTCAAAGCCAGGTTTGATGCAGTCATCTTTTAAAATCTACCTGGACCTGATGTCCAAATAAAAGCACGAGAAAGAGCATAGACCTTTGGGTCTCAAATAAACACACAGACCCTACTTACCTGGGCCACCTCGTCACACAGCGGGCTGCTGAAGAAGGCCAGAAGAACGTGGAAGACCCCTCGCCTGGCACACAGCTCATAGCATTGCTTGTCTCGGATTCCCTGCCGCAGAATCCCCAACACCCACTCCTGCTCGGTTTTTTGCTGTCACCAAGGCAAAGGAGAAAGAGGCGTTAACTAAATTACAGTGTGTCATGCCTTAACCTTGCACACACCACTGTTTGCTAGGCTAACAGCCTGTCACACAGAGGCCTGGTCTCTGATGGTCTAATAAACCCTCCAGCTCACCTTGATCCTACCTGTTCAGGTCAGGAATAAAGGACCAGGTCTACTTTGAACCAAGCTTAAGTGGGGTACACTTAACCCAGGATTCACCAGGAGATCCCAGCATGCCCTCAGACGCAGACTGATACACAACTTTAAAGATCTGAGAAGTAACGGGAGTCTGAGTAAACAGTTCCAATCCCTGGCCTTCTTGTTGCTTGTGTGGCAAATGTATTCATGAGGAAAACATCAGAGACCATGGCAGCTGAGGGACCTAGTTCAGGAATCCTAGGAGACCTGAAGGACTTTGGTGGCATTACCTCAAAGTCAGAGCTGTAGAAGAACTGGTAGAAGCCTGGCACTTTGTCCATATTCAGGTCCTCGTGTGACAGCAGGAACTTGCTCAGCTTCCAGTACATGTGCTCCTCTGTGGACACAGGCAGACAGACATTGACCCACCCCTCACAGGACTCCCCGGGACCTGGCGAAGGGCATGTGTGGAGGTACTCTGGGCATGAGACAGACAGCCCCTATCCCCATGGAATTTCTGCATTCCTGTCTGGTCACTAGTGGCGCCTGCAATGACTCATCTGCTTTCTAGCTGAGGACCCCAAGCACACAGACTCATTTCACCCATCTCAGCTGGTGATTAATCACAGCTCACATCGGGGGTGCTCACTGAGCCAGAACCCCAAGAGGGCTTGTGGGGGTGTGTGAACATGTGTGATCTGGGTCACCTCACAGCAACCCTGAGGCACAGGTGCCATTGCTGTTCCCACTGAACGGTGAAGGGTCTGAGGCAGGGTTAGGTCTAGGAGAAGCCACCTTGCAGCTGTGGCTTACCAACCCACCGTGACCTTGTTATTTCAGGGGTGAGTGACTACAACTGTGGGATACAACCCTAGGCATAGATTTGCTTGGCTTCACGATTTTGATTTCTCCTTAAACAGGCAGCTTCTGGGTTACCCGGTTTCAAAATCTGTTGTGCTGCCTTGGCAATGAAGAGAGTCAAGGTAAATGAGAGTCTCAGGTTTGGAGTTCGAATACCATTCCGGACCACATCCAACAGGTAAAGAAGCTGAGAAACAAAGAGAACAAGTATTATAAAGATGAACTGGGTACCTGTGGCTCACATCTATAATCCTGGCTACTCAGGATCCAAGGATTATGTTTCAAAGCCAGTGCAGGGCAAGAGAATCTGTAAGGCCCTTAGCTCCAATTAACCTGCAAAAGGCTGGATGTGGAGCTGTGGCTCAAGTAGCAGAGCACCAGCCTTGAACAAAAAAGCTGAGGGGCAGTGCCCAGTATGAGTTCAAGTCCTTGTGCCCCCTACCCCCATACACCTTACAATGATGTGTGTTTTTAGAACTGTGACTGTCTCATGTACAGTTGTACTATTGGGTGTGCCTGCCCCCTCACCCGATGGACACCGGAGGAAAAGCCACCGCAGAGGAACATGCTTGTCACCTTAGGGACACTTGACTTGACTTTTCTTTTTCCTTGTTTGTCAGTCATGGGGCTTGAACTCTGGGCCTGGGCTGTCCCTCAGCTTTTTGGCTCAAGGCAAGTGCTCTACCACTTGAGCCATAGTGCCACTTCCCCTTTTCTGGTGGTTAATTGGAGATAAGAGTCTCACGGACTTTCCTGCCCTGACTGGCTTTGAACCACAGTCTTCAGATCTCAGCTTCCTGAGCAGCTAGGATTACAGGTATGAGCCACCAGCACCTGGCTTTTGACTTTTCTTTTAGGAGAGAGGACTGTGCCCAGTGGCTGAGAAGCCCAGCACCATGTCCCAGAAGTGCAGCCCCCTCCGTGGGCCCATGTGTTGGGAGTAATAAGTGGCTTTACCACAGTTTGGACTAAAGAATTATTTTGTCTACCCATAAGGACTTGCTCTTCAGCTGGCTTCTGAGCAATGTGCCAGACCATATCAGACCAGGTAGAGAGCTGACTCCCAGAAGCCCAGTAGGTCCCCCCACCCTCAGAGGACGCTCTACTTCCCGCTCACCTGGGACTGCTCCCGGAAGCGAGCCCCTTCCAGATGGGAGTAGTAGGCTGCCAGGACAGAGTAGGCCGCAGCTCGCATCTGGGGGTCATAGCTGCTGAGGGCTGCGATAGTCAACCCCAGGGCATTTGAATCCAAAAATTTTCGGCAATCCACCACAAATTCTATAGGAAGTCAGACAGAACATTAAGCACACAGCAGGATTTCACGATGGCTGTGCAACCTGGAGAACTTGATGTCCTCTGGCGGTTATCAACATCAGCAACTGTGTCACTTTATTACCTTTTTTTTTGGGGGGGGGGCGGCGGGTCTGGGTCTTGAACTCAGGGTCCAAGTGCTATCCTTAGTTTCTTTGTGCTCAAGGCTAGTGATCTATCACTTGAGCCACATCACCACTTCTGGCTTTTTTCTGAGCAGTTTATTAGAGTCTCATGGACTTTCTTGCTTAGGATGGCTTTGAACCATGATCCTCAGATCTCAGCCTCCTGAGTAGCTGGGATTGCAGGTGCGGACCACCAGCACCCAGCTTCCTTACCACTTAAATACATAAGAAGCCAGAGAGAGGTAGAGGCACAGAGAATCAGCCCACAACTCTTCCCTGTTCTGCCAATCAGGGCTCCATGTACAAATAACACTAAAATACAGGAGGTTGAAGCCTGGGAACTCAGCAGTGTGACTAGGTGACTAGTCCAGACCTAGACGGTTGAGTTCACACAGGATTTGCCTATATCTTCTCTGCAACTCTTGTTGATCTTTACACACACAATTAAAATCATTTGTTACAGAGCAGCTGCCCAGCAAGTGCAAGTCCTGAGTTTAATCACTAATGCTAAGAGAACTGGTTACCAGCAGCCTGAAGGACAAGACTTCTTAATGAAATCAGGAAAATGTTACCAAATGGAAACCAAGGTGTACACAAAGGAATGAGAACAAGAAATGGCCAAGGCCAACTGTTAAACTGAAGGTGAATACTATAAATCCTAAAGTAACTATTTTTGTGTACATGCACATACACATTGTAGTTAAGGGCCAACAAAGATGATAGAGTTCAGATCAATGATCTCATTAAATGTAAATTATACATATATATATATATATATATATATATTCAAATTAAAAGACAGAGATGGCCAGATCAGATAAAAAGTAGAACTCAAGGGGCTGGGAAGGTGGCTCAGTGGTAGAGCACTTGCCTTGCATGCCTGAGGCCCTGGGTTCGATTCCTCAGCACCACATAAGCAAAAAGAAAAAAGCCGGAGGGGGAGCTGTGGCTCAAGTGGTAAAGTGCTAGCCTTGAGCTGAAGAGCTGAGGGACAGCGCCCAGGCCGAGTTCAAGCCCCACGACTGGACCAAAAAAAAAAAAAAAAAAAAATTAAAAACCCAAGTACACACTGCCTACCAGTGGTCATGGGACCTCAACTCTGGGCCTGGGCGCTGTCCCTCAGCTCTTCAGCTCAAGGCTAGTGCTCTACCACTTGAGCCACAGCACCACTTCTGGCTTTTTCTGCTTATGTGGTGCTGAGGAATAAAACCCAGGGCCTCATGCATGACAGGCAAGCACTCTACCACTGAGCCACCTTCCCAGCCCCAAAACCCCACTCTTAGTATCAAAACACAAATTAAAACTGGCTGTTGGTGGCTCATGCTTATAAACCTACCTACTCAAGAGGCTGAGATTTGAGGATTGTGGTTCAAAGCCAGCCTGTCCAGGAAATGCTGTGAGGCACTTATCTCTAATTAACCACCAAAGAGCTGGATCAAGTGGTACAACACTAGCCTTTAGCACAAAAGCTCAGGAACAGAGCTCAAGCCCAGAGTCCAATCTCCAGGACTGGTACAAACACACACACACAGGAGAGAATTCTTAGGTTCCAAAAGCTATGGACTCAACTTTCCTTCTAACAAGCAATTCTTTGTGGTGGGGAGGAAAAATCTGAAGGCTTTCGAGGATAATATTACATTTTCTGGAAAATAGAATTTAAGGGATACTATACATTTATATAAGAAATACACACACGGGCTGGGAAGGTGGCTCAGTGGTAGAGTGCTTGCCTTGCATGCCTGAGGCCCTGGGTTCGATTCCTCAGCACCACATAAGCAAAAAGAAAAAAGCCGGAGGGGGAGCTGTGGCTCAAGTGGTAAAGTGCTAGCCTTGAGCTGAAGAGCTGAGGGACAGTGCCCAGGCCCAGAGTTCAGGCCCCACGACCGGACCCAAAAAAAAAAAAAAAGAAATACACACACATAAAGGAAGAGAAAAGTCTAAACATTTAATACTACACTCACTGAGAAGAGCTAGCACTTAGCTGGCTGGGCACTTTTAGGAATTGCTGACATTCTAAGACAAATGTGTTTTTCCATGTGTCCATGAGGAAAATTCAACTTCCTATTTTGTGACTGTGCTACTCTATGGAAGTTTTGGCTTTGTAGTACTTAATGGAAAAGAGCTGCCCTTGGCTTGTTGAAAATACAATATTCTATTTAAAAATAGTTATAAATGCCATTGTCTGTTTTCAGAACTTCATGAATAGCAATATGACCTTCTAAAACCAGCTTCCGATCAAAATGGCCCTGCCAGGAAAATTACAAAAGATGAAAATCAGAAGCACCCAGGGCCGGTGGGCTTCGGTGGCAGGGCAACTATGGTCTTAAAGTATCAAGAATTGGTCTAGAGCTGCTTCTGACACAGCATCCCCAGCTGTGAACTGCAGTGACAACCAGCTGGGACAGTACTCAGCAATGCCCTGGTCATGGGGCCACAGGCTCATAGAACTGTACATGGATCTTCTGGTGCTGGTTGCTTGGTGGCATGTGTAAATTATGAGCTAGAGATTTCAGCCCCATTCTTCTAAGGACAAGTACTTGCTGTGGAAAAAGCATCTGTCACTGTCACTGCTAGCAGCCTTGGCAAGTACTGTATCTTGGCCAAGGACTCAGAAGGGAGGCGATAGGCTATGAAAACAGGTTCTCCCTTTTGGCAAGAGGCTGGTATTTCTGAAGACACACTACACACATAAAGACTAACCACAGGCCTGACGCAGGATCACAGGATACTTAGGCACACTGCTATAGACAAATCTCCCAGAGAGAATGTGAACTGAAGGAAGTCTGACACCAGAAAATGAGTCTTGTACAATGCCACTTACAGAAAGTTCAAATACAGGACTCAGGCCCTTCCTAGGCAGATGGTCCCCACTAAGAAGCTACTAAGTATGCTCTGCTCCCTGATCTGGCTGGGTCTTCCCCCAAAACTGAGCCCATGTAAATATGCTCCATGTATTTTTCTGTATATCACACTCTAACTGATGAACTGGTGTGCTTCTTCTAGCAGCAGTGAAATCTGCTGCTGCAAGTACCAGGCTCCCTTTTTCTGCCTGAGATGACCGGCAGCCTGGAGCATCCTCTAGTAAAGCTATCTGTGGGATAATGTTGGGTTTGGGCGTAGCTCCTCCCTCTCCCCCTCTACACTTTCCAAAATGCTTGGCCTCAATGTGAGTTTTTGGTATCAATAGTGTTTGAACTACTGAGAATCCTTTCCAAATCGAAGGCAGAGATACCCTGAAAATAGTTTTACCTGTTTATACCAGTAAGACTTTGAAAAAGGCTGTACTAGCAAACTGAAAGGCAAGGAAAACAGGCACCACCTCCTTTCCCTAATGTAAGACCATTTCCTAGTTACTGTTCCTCGCAAAAGGCCTCCTACCATCTATCCCCTACCAAGGAAAAAATAAGGACAGTATTTGAGATTTTGAGAAAAAAAAAAACTTCTGATTTACTATTGAGTATTTTCTAAGCCATTATTGTCTCTGACTCCTAAAAGTTTTATTGTAAGAGATGAATGGACTAAATGAGCTGCAATAGCTCACTCAAGTAGTAACATTATAGTTTTACACTGTGGATTTTTTTTGGGGGGGTGCCATGAGTGGGGCTTGAACTCAGGGCCTTGTACTCTTGCTTGGCTTTTTTGCTCAAGGCTAGCACTTCCACCACTTCAACTACACTCCACTTCCGGCTTTTTCTGGTCAACTAGAGAAAAGAATCTCATGGCCTTTTCTGCCTAGGCTGGCTTCAAACCATGATCCTCAGATCTCAGCCTCCTGAGTAGCTAAGATTACTGGTGTGAGTCCCTGGAGTCTGGCTGGCTCGATAGTTCTTGTCGTGTTTGATAAGAAAAAGATTTGGCAGCACTGACAAGGCTGTCAGAAGAGCTTCCTGGGCACAGAGGAGGACTTGCCTCATTAGCCAGCTGCCTAACAGTCACTAGCACAACTTAGCTGGCTGCTATCATGGTATGAAACACCCTTGCTCTGCTGCCAATCAGGTCCAGTGTCATCCATGGCGCCACACAGTGTCCACCCAGGATGGCTGGCAGTAGCAGGCAGGGTGGCTGCTGGGGAAATGTGGATGAAAAGGCAGGCCCCCTGGGTCCTTTCAGAAAGTAGTACAAAGGGCGGCCCAAGTCTGTCAGCAAGTCTGTTTGCTGGAAGGAGTGTGGTATACCCAGAACATTTCAAGTTTAAAATTTTCACAGGCAGGGGTGGGAATATGGCGTAGAGTGCTTTAGCATGCATGAAGCCCTGGGTTCGATTCATTAGTACCACATAAACAGAAAAGGCTGGAAGTGGCACTGTGGCTCAAGTGGTAGAGTGCTAGCCTTAAGCAAAAGCAGCTCGGGGACAATGCCTAGGCCCTAAGTTCAAGCCCCAGGACTGGCAAAAAAAAAGTTTTTTCACAGGGTAAATGGTGGGACAAGGTTTTCCCAGTCCACCTAGTAAGCTTAATCCAGCATCACATCCCTCACAAAGGGGCCTTTTATGTACCCAGTACACAGAAGCCAGTTATGGGGCATGAACTCAGGGAGGGTCTGGATGCTGTTCCTGAGCTCTTTTGCTCAAGGCGAATACTCTACCACTCAGAGCCACAGCGCCACTTCCTACAACATATTCTTTACTTGAAGAGTTCTCTGGACTCTCATGGACCTTTAAGTCAAGCTATACCCTAGAAAGAACACACAGGACCTGCTCATGTGGCAGGGGGTGGGGGTGGGAGAAGAATGTGGCTGAAGTGGTAGAGCACTTGCCTGCAACTTGAGGCCCTGAGTTCAATCCTTCAGGCCTGCCTCACAAAAAAACTCCACATTTTGAAGATTCAGTTATCACCATAATGCTGATTCCTGGGACCCACATAGCCAGCCAGACCCCACAAGGGCGGCTGTGCTTACCTGGCCTGGTCAGTTCCCCGAAGAGCTGGAGGAGAAAGCAAGGGTCATAAAGGCCATCAAGATCCACCTTCACACTTCTGTCTTTATATAATGACTCCTGTGCATTCTGAAATAGCCAAAACAAAAATGCATGACTAAACCGCACAAGTGATTGAACCGTGTGCATGGTAACTCACTGTTGCCAGAGAGCAAACTATTTTAACTCATTAAGAGGATAAAGCAAAATGTAGTTCTAGCTAGGCACTGGTGGCTCACACCTGTGAACCTACTCAGAAGGCTGAGATTCACAGGATCATGGTTTGAAACCAGACTGGGAAGAAAAGTTAGTAAGACTCCATCTCCAAAATAACCAGAAAAGAAAAAAGGGAGGGGAGGAGTGGTAACGGTTTGGCAAAAAAAATTAATACTTATACATGGTTTTCCCTGGTCTTTGGAATGTGATGAGTTTTTTTTTTTTTTTTTTGCTGGGGTGTGTGATAAAACAGAGTCAGCAGAAGTGGGTGAATCACTGGAACATAGGGGAGCAGTCTATCTCTATATACGTTGGAATTTTACTTGATCAAAAGTAATAGTCTATCCACTAGCCTCTGGCAGGTCATGCCTGTAATCCTAGCTACTCAGGAGGCTGAGACCTGAAGGGTCTTAGTTAAAAAATGTCTATGAAAATCCATCTCCAATTAGCCATCAGAAAGCTAGACTGGAGGGTGGCTCAAGAGGTAGAGCACCTGCCTAGCAAGTTTATAACCCGATACTGTCAAAACAAAATTTAGAAGAAAAAGCAAGCTGCAGGTGCAGATGGAGTGCTCGCAGCAGAGGCAAAGGGGCAGTGGGCGCACCTCGGGGGGCAGCAGCCTCCGGTGCTGGGGAAAGTGCAGGATGGTCAGCATCATGCGGTCGTGGTCCAGTAGGCGGAGGATGTCTCCCACGCTTGGCTGTTGCCACAGTGACTTGCCTAGGCTCCGGCGCGTCTTGTGATGCTCCACAGCCGCTGGGCCCCACATCAGTACCCTAGAGCCAGAGGAGGGAGGTGGACTGCTGACGGGGCCCGCCAGGAGTACCAGCGATCCATCCTTGGTGGCACATTGTGTCAGTGCTCCTCTGGCACTGTACATGTGTTTGATCACAGCTTAGGAAGCAGGTGGTTGTGAGGTGGATGCTGGCGATGATGGCAGAGGCCAACACCCACACACTAGCTATGGCATGCCTGGCTTGGTTCTAAGTCCTTTATGTACACTAACTCATCTAGCCTATGCAACTCCATAGGTCACACTATCAGCCCCTGTGCAAATGGGAAGAAGTGACAGAAAAGATTAAGCAAATTACTCAGGCTAGGTATAGTGACTCATGCCTGTAATCCCAGCTATGAAGAACGTAGGTATTCAGAAGACTACAGTTTGAAGTCAGGCTAGGCAAAACATTTCATAAGATCCCATCTCAAACCACAGAAAGCTGGATGCAGTGGTATGCTCCTGTCATCCTGGCTACAAGGCAAATATAAATGTGGGGATCATGGTCTAGACTAGCCAAGTTATAAGTGTAATACCCTGAAAAATAACTAAAGCAAAATGGCTTGGGGGTGTGGCTCAAACAGAGTACTGGTAAGTATAAGACCCGGAGTTCAAACCCCAGAGCCATCCCCAAGACTTGAGGTGTGAGGTTCTAGAGCCAGGCTAGACCAGCAGCAGAAGCCTGATCTCCCACTAGTGGCAGGCGTCTTGAGTGAACGAGGGCTGCCCGCACAGCCGTTAGCTAGCTACTTTAGGAGCCATGCACTCTCACACAACTGTGGCTTACCTTTCTTCCACCTGGAAAATGACTCAAGCCTCCCTCTTCTTCTTCATTCTTCTCCTTCCTCCCGAACCTCCTTCCTCCCACTGCCTCTTCACTGAATGCTCCACCGACCCAGCCTGGAGGAAAGCCACCTCCCTGCTCCCACGCAGCCATGTGCTGTGTGTTATCTCATGACAGACAACCACATGCACAACTGTCCTCCACCAGCAGCGTCTCCTGTGATAACGCCCACCCCAAAGCAATGAGGAAGGAGAGCAAGTATTTCCTTAAGGTCTGAGCATTCTTAAAGAGATAAAGAACAAGTCTATTTCCTTTGTCTGCGATAGAATGGCTTCTGGGCTTCATTTTTAAACCAAGTGTTTTCATTCAGAGTTTCCCAGAACTTTCTCTTGATCTAGTTTGTTCACTTGCTGTCTGAACACACAACTCTTGACATGTACTAGTCAGTTCCTGCTTGGTCTGATACAATGCTCAGGCCCTCAGGACCCCAGAAGGGACAACAGAAAGAGCAAACCCCAGGAAAGAGGCAGCAACCCCAGCCCCCACACACATACAAAATGTGCAGATAGGATGGACAGACAAACAAAACATGCAGACAGGAGAGATACACATACAAATAGGCAGACAGAGAGACACATGTGCAGACAAGAGAAAGCTGGGACTCTGAGTTGGGGGCAGGGTCTCCACAGCCAGCACCCATCAGTCAGTCAGCAGGGAGATGAGTCCTTCTGGGGCAAACCAGGCCACCCCTGGCAGCTTGGGCTACCGACATGCAGGAGCCTGGGAAACTTTGCTTGTCAGCCTGGCCAGACAGGATATGGAGCTGGCTGTGTGGAGAGGGGCCACACCAGTGATCCCAGATACACAGACACAACACTCACCTGAAGTCGATGAGGCTCAGGTGGTTCTGTTCATAGGCCCGGAGGACAAGTAAAATCTTTTGGTCTAGAAGTCAAATGAGAATTGCTATAGGAAGCGAAGTGCATTCAACACACAGAATACTGCCAGCACCCTCCCAGCAGCTCCCTCACCCCTCCCCGCCCACAGGGCCTTACACTCTTACCCAAGACACTGAGAGTGGCACCGTAGGCTCCAAGAAGCACGGCAAAATGGCTGCTCTGGCAGACAGAGGGGCACAGCCTCACCACCGCCCACATCAGATCCACCAGCGCTTCTGGAAGAAACAGAGACATCAGCACTGCAGGGACACACAGCAAACAAAGCAAGGGGGAATGCTCCAGGAACCCTTGAACATCTCAACAATGTGCACATCCAGCTGCCATCCAGCCCCTTCCCCACTGGGATGAATTTTTTATTAATGACTTTACGGTGGCCAGTTTCTCATGTTTTTGACAAGGCCAGGGACTAGTCTTAGCTCAGGTCACTCCCAGATTTTAAAATCTAAACATTCATCCCCATAATTACACTACCAAAAAGCTCTAAAATTTCTACTCCTTCCTGAATAGAGAACACATTTTCCTACCATTTGCACTAGTAACTGGCACAACAGCTGGCCTCACTCCAATCGTTTTTAAGTTTATTCTTTTGGCTGTTATGGTTGGAACTCAGGTATCTACAACTTGAGTCACACCTCCAACCATTGTCTATTTTACTTATTTTTCAGAGTCTCATGCTTTTTGCCTAGTGCCAGCCTTGGACACAATCCTCCTATCATAACTCCTGCATAGTTGGGATAAAAGACATGAGCTACTATTCCCAGTTCATTTGTTGAGATGAATTCTCTCTCATACTCTCTTGAACTGTGATCTTCCTGATCTTGCCCTCCTTAGTGGCTGGGGCTGTAGGCCAATCCAGCAGTTTATTACAGACTGACCTATAATGGCTTCTAATGGTCTGGGTAACAACTGACTTGTCTCTTAACAGTGTGGCTTTGAGGGGTAGAAATCTCAGTCTTTTCTGACATGTCTCATAGCCCACCCAAGCAGTAAGTAAATGTTTACTGAATTAGGTATACTTACTCCTAAGCAGTATTTACTGAATGAGGCATAGAGTAAGCCTAGCATTAGAAGAGTTCTGCAGCAACATTCTGTTAACAAGTGAATACTAACTCTCTTCCCTTGCTAAGCTTCAATCTGCCACTAAGAAAACTCATGTACGTGGTCTCTCAGGTCTGACACCCACCGTTGCTTTTCCCACACCTCCTAAGTTCCCCTAACTCCCAGCTCTTTTACCACTCAGGCATGACATGGGAGTAAGCCCTCCAACCCCTCTACTACTCGGACAAGGCCTTCAGAACAGGCCTACTTTTGCCCTCTATCAGAGGAATATCAAGCCTGGCGTGGGTGGCTCATACCTGTAATCCTGGCTAATCACGAGACTGAGATCTGAACACTGAAGTTCAAAGCTAGTCCAGGCAGGAAAGGCTGTGAGTTTATCTCCAATTGACCAGCAAAAGCCAGAAACAGAGCTGTGGTTCAGTAGTAGAGTACCAGCCTTGACCAAAAAAACTAAGGGAAGCTGGGCACCAGTGGCTTATGCCCATAATCCTAGCTACTCAGGAGGCTGAAATCTGAGGATCAGAGTTTGAAGCCAGACCAGGCAGGAAAAGTCCATAAGACTCTTATTTCCAATTAATCACCAAAAAACTAAGTGGAGCTGTGTCTCAAAATGGTAGTGCTCTAGACTTGAGCACAAAAGCTCAGAGACAGCACCCAGCCCTGAGTTCAAGCCCCACAACTGATAAAACAAAACAACAACAACAAAAACTAAGGGATAGCACCTAGGACCTAAGTTCAAGTCTGAGTACTGACATGCATACATGCGCACACAGGACTATATCCTGATTCTGGAACTGACAGTAACAAATCCCGAGTACTGCCTGCTGAGATCTGAAAACAAATAGGGGGAGAAGCTCTGGAACACATCACTAGGAAACAAAAGCAGGAATGGAACTAGGAGATCTGGGGAGGGATACCTTTTACTTGACTATCTGGATTTCCCTCTCCCTCAGAGGTCAGCAGTGTTGGCAGAAACAAAGAATGCTGGGTCAGCATCATGTGGACCACAGGAAGCTGGATGAGCTTTAGGTGCATGGAACTTTCTGGGCTATACAACAGCAGAGTGGCAGCATGCAGGGTTTTTAAGAAGGTGTGGTCCTGATAGCGAAATCTGGGAGGCAGGAGTCAAAAAGAAACAGCTTAATGAAAGGGGAGTTTACTTTATAGGAAGCAGTTTTTTTTTTCCTTAGAATTATGACGATTTTGAAATATACCACCAAGCTGGCTATCTAACCTTTCTCTTGATTCTAACGCAGTGTATATTAATGCTCTATCACATCTGTTCAGACTCATGAATTTTGTGTGTGTGTGTGTGTGTTTTGTCAGTGTGGATCTTGAACTCTGGGCTTAGGTGCTGTCCCTCAGCTCTTCAGCTCAAGGCTAGCGCTCTACCACTTGAGCCACTGTGCTACTTCCAGCTTTTTCTGTTTATGTGGTGCTAAGGAATCGAACCCAGGGCCTCCTGCATACAAGGCAAGCACTCTGCCACTGAGCCACCTTCCCAGCCCCAGACTCATGAATTTTTATGTCCATGTTGACCTCAAACTGCAATCAGCTGATCTCTACCTCTGATGTGGCTAGGATTACAAGCTTGAGCCACCATGTCTGGCTTCATTTCTGTATTTTAAAAAATATCTTGTTCTCATAGTGCTGTTTCTCTGTTCCTCATCAGAAACATGACAGTGTCAATAGGTACATCATATTCTTCAACAATCTTTATCTTCTCTCTCTAAAAATGAGGTAACCTCTGCTCCGTAGCTGTCAAAAACACTGCTACTTTTATAAATGACACAGGGAAAATAAAATCAACTTACTTGAGTCCTGTCTTCACAAATTTCTGCCAGTCACTGGGGTCAACTTCATTAAGTACATGCTAGAATAAAGCAAGCAAGAAATACACATGAAGTAACTCAATGAATTTGAAAAAAAATTATTGACAGACAGAGGCTTTGTAGCCTTCAGATAGGCAGTGCCTTGCTGGGTCTGCCTGTCCCTCTGCAAACATGACAGAGTTGCCGAGGCCAAGCTCCGAGGCCCTCCTGCTTTAAGTTTGAGATTCTACCCAAAAGCTCTGAAGTCCACCACCTAAGACCATTACTAGTGAGCATGTGACAGCTCATGTTTACAGGACAATCAAGACAGCTCATAACACAAAACCTGAAGTACCAACTATGAAACTCAAGTTAGAACCACTCAGTAAATATAAAAGACATTTTTTGAATAATCCACAAAATCATGCACCTTTTTGGTATTTTGGTTTTACTTTTTTTTTTTTTTTTGTCAGTTGTGGGGATTGACCTGGTTGTGGGGCTTGACCTCAGGGCCTAGGCACTGTCCCTGAGCTTTTTTCACTCAAGGTGAGAGCTCCCTCCACTTTGAGCCATAGCTCCACTTCCTGCTTTCTAGTGGTTCACTGGAGATCAGAGTCTCACAGACTTTCCTGTCCAGGCAGGCTTTGAACCACGGTCCTCAGATCTCAGACTCCTGAGTAGTTAGGGTTAGAGGCGTGAGCCAGATACCCAGCTTGTTAAGGCTTTTTTTTTTTTAATACGTTATTCTGTTATTTCTGCTGATAGGTCTGACGTTTACATGGCTTATGCTCTTCAAATAGCGAAAGGAAATTTCCCAAATAGTCTGCTGTCTACCATTTCAGACACTTAATGGATTTGCAATGGCCTTTCACTGAAGTCAATGGCGCTCTTCCATTTCAGTTTGTGTCTGGGACGCGGCATCAGAAAGATGGAATGCTTCGATTCTGAGGATCCAGTTTTACAGAAGCAAAGCGCTCTTTTAAATGAAGTGAATAGCCAAGTAATTAAGATGAATGGCAGGAACAGGGCCGCAATGGCGGAAGCTGGGACTTGGGAACTTCCGGTGGGCGGGCATTTTAAGAGCGCAAGGCGGTACTTCCGGTGCTGTTGGCTTCCGGACGCGATCGTTCGAAGCCCCGGCGGGAAGAGGCTGCTGCAGGTTCGGATCTGCGCGGAGCCATGTCTGTGGATTTTAAGACTTACGTCGATCAGGCTTGCAGGGCTGCTGAGGAGTTTGTCAGTATTTACTACGACACCATGGACAGGAGGCGCCGGGCCCTGCCCCGGCTGTACCTGGACGAGGCCACCTTGATATGGAATGGCAACGTAGTCACAGGGCTGGAAGACCTCGCTAACTTCTTTGAGATGCTGCCTACCAGTGAGTTCCAGGTGAACATGCTAGACTGCCAGCCGGTGCCCGGGCAGGCCACCCAGGCCCAGAGCACCGTGCTGGTGGTGACCAGTGGCACGGTCAAGTTCGATGGGAACAGACAACACTACTTCAACCAGAACTTCCTGCTGACCACGCAGCCCACCCCGCACAGCACCGTGTGGAAGATTGCCAGCGACTGCTTCCGCTTCCAAGACTGGGCCTCGAGTTAAAGGGGCCAAAGTGTGGCCAAGTGTGCCGTGGGGGGGGGTTGTTAGTTCCGGCAGCAGAAGTGTGAGCGAAGCAATGTGTTTTGTTGTAAGAGCAGTATGAATGGATTTGTGCTAAAAGTAAAATATTTTAATATGTTTTTATTCCTAGAAGCACCTCTTGTAGCAGCTGCCAACTTGGATTGTTGCCCTAAGAGCTTTAATGCTAGGTTCTTACATACATATTCCACGGAAGCCATTCTCAAAGTAATATTAAACATACTGTGAACCCAGTAGTACATTAAAAAAAAACAAACTGGGAATTCCTTTGTAATTACATCTGTGATGTATTAGTACCACATAACTATCTTGGAGAAGCTGGGATTCTTGGCTAATAGATTAATTTTATAGTAAAACACAAGCATCTATAGTTCAGTTAAAACTGTTAATAGTTTTTTTTTGTTTGTTTGGTTGTTTTTTTTGTTTGTTTTTTTTAAATGCTAGTCCAAAGGCTTAAACTCAGGGCCTAAGCACTACCCCTGAGCATTTTTTGCTCAAGGTTTGTGCTGTACCATTTGAGCACAACTCTTACTTCTTGCCTTTTGGATAGTTCTATTGGAGATAAGTCTCATAGACTTTCCTGCCTAGGCTGGCTGCTAACTGTGATTCTCAGCCTCCTTAGTAGCAAGGAGTATAGGCATGGGCCACTGGCACCCAGCTAATATCGTTTTATTATATAGTACTTAAAATCAGTTCAATTTAAGTTTGTATTGTTACAACTCTGAACTATTTGAGTTGTAAGTAGAGATGTTCAGTAGTCTTTTATACATTATTTTCTTATGTTGACATATTTCCTTATGAAGTGAATCATCTAAAAAGGTAAAAATGTTCTGTTGAAATCTGAGCTCTGGGCTGGGAATGTGGCTTAGTGGTAGAATGCTTGCCTAGCATGCATGAAGCCCTGGGTTGGATTCTTCAGTTCTGCAAAGAGAAAAAGCCAGAGTGGCGCTGTGGCTCAAGTGGTAGAGTGCTATCCTTGAGCAAAAGGAGCTCAGGGTCAGTGCCCAGGCCCTGAGTTCAAGCCCTAAGACTGGCAAAAAAAAAAAAGAAATCTGAGCGTTGGTATATTTAGTGGCTAAAAAGCAAAAGTCGCTAATAGCAGTTTTCTTGGCAGCTCCAGATCTGTAAATTTAGGTAACGAGTGGTAATAGAACTAATAGCTTTAATGAGAAATGTAGAGATGCCCTCATGATGGAAACCAAAAATTAAGGAGGAAGGCTGACCAAGTGGTAAAATGCTGGTACTTGTTTCTTACCTAAAAATACAGCCCACCTTCATTTAAATTACTAATAAGTATTGTTGCCAAACAATTGTGAATATCACTCTTGTCCTAAGAATGAGTTTTTGAGGTATTTGTACTTTACTTTATACTTATCACCAATATTTATGTCAATTTATACAAGAACATATGGGGTAAAATGTTAGCAATAAGCCTAATCTATGATGGGATCTAACAGACATAGCTATTGCTATTACCCACTCTTGAATGAATGCTCCCTGTTTTGTACTCTAAATTGTATTCTATTATTTAAGGTTAAAATTATTTCATTTATAATTTGTTCCTATAGTGGCATTGGGCAAATAGATAACATTTTGAAACATGTTCTCATTATGTGGCTCACTCATTGTCTTTTCAAAGAGAAAGAACAAAAGATCTTCATGTTAAACTTCAAAAAACTAAAGTACAAATTTTATGTCTCAACTTTGGAAGGAGAAAAAGCCTAGCTCTGATTTTTGGTTAAAAGCTTTTGCAATTTATTAATGTTCTGTATCATTTAATTTTAAAATTACTAATTGACTCTTGCCCCAAACTATACACTGTATTCTGGTTGATCCTATTAAAATTGAATTTGATAGGAGTGGACCTGACTTTAAAAACCCATACATTCTTGACGTGTACTGATAGTCTAATCAAAATTGTTCTTATTTTGTATTTTTTAAGTCATAGCTTTAACAGCACCAACCAAAATAACACCCTTTCCCCAAAGAAAGTCTCAAATAAAGGCTGCATATACATAGCAATTGAAATGAGCTTTTGTGAATTGCTTTCTATAAGCCCTGTAAATGACTAGACCTATTATATCAGTTAGATTTGTTTTTGACATGTTTACATTTTTATCACTGAAAAAATAAAATTTGCCTTGTAACAATTTCTTTAAAAAATAAAAAGTCAGTGGAGGCTACTCATGTGGTCTCCTCACTGACCCCCAGGTCACAGGCTCTAGTGGGACAAAGCGGAGATTTGGGAACTGAGGACCAGTATCAACTATGGAGAGCAGCTGATGGCAGTGTGCTCAGCCTGCACCAGGCTGGCCATGCAGTAGAGACCTCAGTGCCAGTGTGAAGGAAACCCCTGGGGCAGTGGATCCCTCCCCAAGCATGAGGCAGTCTTCCTGCCCATCACATCCTTAACAGGATAACAAAAAACCAGCTGTCAGAAAGCCATGTTACAAATATGCAGAATATGATCCCATTAGTACACAAAATTATGCTTAGCACAATTGCATACATTCTCTCTCTCTCTCTCTCTCTTTCTGTGTCTTTCTCAGCAACACCTCTGGGAGGAAATTCATTTAGCCTTATAAATAGGATAGCCTCTAGGTAATGGGGAATGTTTAATAGTCTTCTTTATAATGGGCAGGTTCGTTAGCTTTGTAACAATTCCTAATGATTCCAGATTATCTGGGGCTTGGAGGGAAGGGCAATGGACACCATGCAGTAAGTAGAATACTACTCAGCATTGAAAAACAAAAAGCAAGTCATTCTCAGTAGATGATTACAAAAAGTATAGCAGAAGCCATACATATTATTCCAAATCTAATAAAAGGACTAGAACAGGATTGTAGTGTATACACCTGTAATCCCAGAATTTAGGAGACTAAAGCAGGAGGATCTAGTTCAAGACTAGTCTGGGCTAATAGACTATCAAAAAAAGGCAAAAACAAAAAGGAAACAATTAAGAGCCAGCATGGTGGTACATGCCTAGAGATTATGAGCTTGAGGCCAGCCTCGCTAGCTATACTTAGTGAAGTTGGAGAGGCTGTCCACGATGGGAGGTGGCATTCCCTGTGGATGCCGGGCCTTAAGCACCACCACTCTACAACTCAGCCCTGACAGCTCACTACATTTAGGTCTTGGGCACATTCTTCCCAGAGTCCACCCAAGCCTGGGTTCTGTGTAACTAGGTTCACAAACCTGTGATGAGTTACAAAGATTTTTTAGAATAGCCAAGCACATAGCTTGCTCCAGGACTTCCAAATGTATTTACTACATTCAGGTTTGTTTTACTTGGAGTTATGTTCCTGAGGATTACCTGGCTCAGAGTTTAAACACAAGCCATAGACTCTAGGACTAGTAATGCACCTTTATGCCATGCACCAGGAAACAACTCAGATTCTCATGCAAATGTTTCAGATATTCTTTCTATGCAAAACAATAGAACATTTTAGGAGGATGCTTCTGAGAAGGGAATTAGGGCCAAGTATTTCTAAATTCTATGAAACTACCATTCCACAGATCAAACAGCTTACTGAACCCAAGTACAAGAAATGTGGAAAAAACACAAAAACTGTTCAAATTGCTTTAGCCCACATTTTAAAAAACACTAAGTTCAGTTTGAGGAGACTGAGAAACAAAGAATGACAAATTTAGCCAGGCACTGGTGGCTCATGCCTGTAATCCTAGCTACTCAGAAGGCTGAGATATGAGTATTATGGTTCAAAACCAGCCTAGACAGGGAAGTCCATGAGACTCTTATCTCCAATTAAATACCAGAAAACTGGAAGTGGCACTGTAGCTCAAAGCGGTAGAGGGCTAGACTTGAAAGAGCTTAGAGACAGTGCCAGGCCCTGAATTCATGCCCCCAGCAACATCAAACACAAAAGACAAATTTGTTCACGGCAAGCCAGATGACAACACAGTAAAATGTTTAAAACTCAGAGAAACGCTACCCAACTCATTCAATGAGGTCAGTGCTATCTGACCTAAACATATTACAGAAAAATTAAAGTACAAGCTAATATCCCTTGCGTCCACAGAATCAAAATCTCTTAACAAAATATTAGGTGCTCCAATCCAATGAGGTATAAAAGGAAAATAAATCATACTCAAGTAGGCTCATTCCAGGAATGCAAGATTGGTTTAACACTCATCAATATAATTCAGACTAATCAAAAAATAAGACCTTTTATAACATCTCAATAGATGCAAACAAGCATATTACAAAAATCCAGCATCTACTTCTGATGAAAATGGCTCATCAATTCAGGAATTGCCACCACATGCCACTCTGCCTCTACACACCGCCCTGCCACACAGCAGAAGTGTATCTGTAAAGCTTGGTTTGTCCCTTAAGGCATAACTACGATCTATAAGCAAAAACACCTACCAGCAACTCGCTTAATCTGAGCAACATCTGCTTCTCTTGATCCTGGGTGCTGTCATCACTGGGCTGGCTACTACTGAAGGATGCAAGCAACCACTGCACACAGGACTCAAGGAGGGTCTTCTGCCAGGCATGCAGCTCTCCTGCTACCTCCTCCAGAGCTGCAGAGACGGAGTCTGCTACAATCCAACTGCAAAGGAGACCAGAGTCCAGACTTAGAGGGAAGATGTAATCCAACATCACAGGTCCCAGGACCTGTTTCCTAGAACATCCACTCCAGAAGCCACTCTTTATGAAAAAAGAGAGAGATGTCAGGGGTTAGGCATGGAAGTTCAAACCTGTATTCAAGCTACTTGGAAGGTGGATATCAGGATTGTGGCTTGAGGCCAGCTTGGGCAAAAAGGCAGTGAGACTGTACCTAACTAATAATCTGGGCATGGTCTTAATTATCTCCCGTCCTAGCCACAGAGGAAGTATAAGAAGACAGTGATCAAGGCCAACCCCATGGGGAAAAAAATATCAGACCCTAGTAGAAAAATAACTAAAGCAAAAAGGGTAGGGGCTCAAGTAGCAGAGTACCTGTCTAGAAATCAGAGGACTCTAAGTTCAAATCCCAGTACCACCAAAAAAGAAAGTACCAGAATGTTCACAGAACCAACAGTATCAGCACACAGAAAAAGGATATTCCTGCCCAGACTTGTGCAGACCAGGGTCCTTCTACCTCATTACTCATGACCTATGGGGCTGCAGAGTTAGTAGCACCCATGCCTCCCCCCCCTCTAAATGCTATGAGCCACACCACTCATCCCAGCCGTCATAATAAAAAGCATTATACACTGCCCCCGGGGAAAGTCACCCCCAGTTCCGCACCACTGCTCTTCAGGGAGTCAGACCTAGCCACCCACTTACGGAGATGTATCCTCAGCCAGGATGGCTAGAACGAGGAGCTATAGCAACAATGCCATCTTGCTGACCGGTACAATGGCAAGGAAGCCATTTTCACTAAGAAATTCATAAATTCTAAGGGGAGAAGTGAGACCGAGAGGGGAATAGCCACCCAGAAACCCTCACCTTCATACCTCTTGTTTCTGCCAGGAGTCTGAAGCAAGCTGGGCAGATGGGCCCTGAGCACACGAAGGTCTTTGGCTTTTGCAAAGGGAACCAGCTGGGCCAGAATCTCCAGCTGCAGCCCAGCCTCTGCAGGTGTGTCCATACTGAGAAGCCTGTCCTGCAGCTGTCCCCACAGGGCCTTCCTCAAGACAGGAACGGTGTCGGAGGGCACTGGGACACAGACACAAATCAGAGATCATTACATACAAGGGAAACTGAGCCAGCTCCAAAAAGCTCACAGGGGATGACTGCTATACATTAGGTAGCCTGTGACCCAATGATGCTACTCTAACAGCCTGATATTCACCATGGCAACGATGCCGACACCAAGGAAACCGGCAGATGCTTTTATCTCTCCTCCAAGGAGATTCATGGCCAACATGCCTGGCAAGTACTCTTCAGCCTAATGGTATGGGGAGTCCTGACTTTCTGAGCGCTGAGGTTCTGTACTCCCATAAGCATCATCTGCCAAAGGCATGATGAGACAGAGGGTGCAGCTGAGGAGAGGTGGGTACAGCCACTGGCTGGACAGCTCTTGTTGGCTGGATTATTCTGCCTTTTTTTCCCCCCAGAGTTGAGGACCGAACTCAGGGCCTTGCACTTGCCAAGCAAGTGCTCTTCCACTGAGCTAAAGCCCCAACCCAGTTCTACTTTTTTTTAACACCTGTCACCACTGATACAAAGTTACATGAGACAGAAGCAAAGTAGTGAGTGGAAAAATACTGAGATACTCACTAAAATGGAATTAAATTAATTGTGATGAACGCAACGTGACAGATAAGAATTCCACCAGGTAGCCTGGACACATACTGCCTTGACACAACAAACTAACTCACTAGCACTCCCTGAGGTGTGCTTGATGGGGGGGGGGGGGGGGCGGGCCAGGGGGGGGGGGGTGCTGGGACAAAAAACAGCTTAGCCCTTGGGCTGGGAATGTGCATTAGTGGTAAAATGCTTACCTAGTGTGCATGAAACCCTGGGTTCGATTCCTCAGGTACCACATAAACAGAAAAAGCTCGAAGTGGTGCTGTGGCTCAAGTGGTAGAGTGCTAGCCTTGAGCACAGAGAGGCTCAAGGACAGTGCTCAGGACCTGAGTTCAAGCCCCAGGACCAGAAGAAAAAACAAAACAAAATAAAACAAAACAAAAAATGGCTTAGCCCTAATACTTCCCTAACCCAGACACCCCCAACTGCTACCCACTGCCCTATTTCAGGTTAACTAGGAATTGGCAGGGTACTAAGGCTACAAATCACTTTATTACTCCAAGAGACAGAGGTATTGGGGATTTCTTAGTCCTCAGTTGTTTTGGGTTTTGTTTTTTGTTTGGGGGGATTTTTTTGGTGCCAGTACTGGGCCTAGATGCTGTCCTTAACTTTTTTGCTCAAGTCTACTGCTCTACCACTTGAGTCACAGACTCTACTTCTGGTTTTTTTTTGAGCCACGAGCTCCAGAGCTCAGCCTCCCAGTAGCTAGGATGACAGGCGTGTGCTATACCTAACCTTCTAAATCTTCAGAGCCACTCAGACTCCCAGAGGAGGAACATACCTAAGCCCAGCCCAGACCAAGAAGCAGCAGGGTCAAGGTGAATCCAGTTCACCAGCTTGGCCTCTTCCACCTGCAACTCCCAGTGGCCCAAAGCCAGCTCCTTCCTTACCTCCCAGCGGCCGTGCAAAGGGCCCCTGTGTCCTGTGCTGGAGGTACACGTGGATGAGCGGGAGGAAGCCATCCATGTCCTCTCGCAGGCTGCGTCCCACACCAGCCTGGCCACACCACAGCTCAAACCTCAGCAGGTGGGTGGTGCTCTGCTGCAGGAGCAGGCTGGCGATGTCCAAAGCCACGCGTGTCCTCCGGGCCAGGCAGTAATCAAGCAGGTCGGCCGCCACCACGGGGGCCAGCATGGGGTCTCTTTGAAGAGTGTGGAGGAACGCAGAGTCCAACTCATTCACGGCCAGTGTGGGGAGCAGAGACCCCAGGCCTCGCACATACTCAGCTGACCAGAAGAGCTCACTGTTCTGCAGCTGATCCTGAGGGTTGCAAGCCAAGAGCTTCACCAGGGTCTTGCCCAGAGTGCTCAGGTGTCTCTCTTTCCCTGGGGCCTTTGGGGGTGGCTGGGCCAGCAGGTGGGCCTCAGGCAGGCCCAGTAGGGCCAGGATGACCTCTCGGAGCTGTGCACCTTCCATGTAGGGGTGGAGCTGCAGCAGGGCTTCCAGCTGTGGCAGGGTCTTAGGTGGCAATGAGGCTGCACCTGTCCTGCGGGCTCGCAGCTCTCTCAACACACTCCGAGTGATGGCCTCTGAGTACTTGGACAGGAGGCCCAGCTGGCCCATGCTGCGGAGGACCGGGGCGCTCGCCACCAGTAGCTGCAGGACCCCTGCATTGAAGTGGGCCACCAGTAGCTTCACGAGGATGGGGCTGAGTGTGTGCGGGGGCAGGGACTGCTGCTCCAGGGCTAGGAACCAGCCCTCTAGTGTGGGGTGTCTGAGGATGGCCCCCAGCACCTCCTCCAGTGTCTGAAAGACAAGGACCAGGACAGACTTCAGGAGAGGCACAGGACTAGGGAGGGGCCACAGCTGCTAGGAAGTGTTCACTGCTGTCAGTGAGACAGGGCTCTGCTAACTCACCTGCCCTCCACCTGTGTCCAGTGCCCCTCTCAAGGGGGCTCACAGCACCCAGCTGCTCCCCTCCTCACAACACTTCACAACCCTAGGACTGTGCATGACCACCACAGCCTCCCTACCATGTCGGTGAAGGCCAGACAGAGACGTCAGGGCCCACACAGAGTCATGAGTGTGTTTTTGATAAAGGTAGCCAGAGTGGACTCTCTCCTAAGTCACTCATTGGAGGGGTTGGGCGATGCAAACATGGCAAAATGTGATTAAGGCAAGTCCAACCTTGGCCTTTCTCTGGCAGCCTTGCCTTCTGGTGGCTCCTAAGTAAGACAGAGTGGCTCCTAAGTAGACACAGGTGTCTCCTAAATAGGACAGAGTGGTCACAGCTCACATTCTGGGGCAGTTGGATAGGGTTTAAGCCACTGCCCAATGCCCCAACTCCAAAATGAAGCCAAGACCGTCTCTACTTAGACAAGAGTGGGTTATCAAGTGACTCCATGAAATTATTTCTGGCCCAACTGACTTGAGTTTGAAGCCCTGACTGGAAAGCAGTCTAATACCTTTGCTGGATTGGGTCCAGCTGTCCTGCACAGCCTTGCTGACATGACTCTACCAGACACGAACGGGTACCCTTATCTGGATCATTCTTTTTTTTTTTTGGGTCCGGTTGTGGGGCCTGAACTCTGGGCCTGGGTGCTGTCCCTCAGCTCTAGGCTAGCGCTCTACCACTTGAACCACAGCGCCACTTCCGGCTTTTTTTTTTAACTTTTTGCTTATGTGGTGCTGAGGAATCGAACCCAGGGCCTCAGGCATGCAAGGCAAGTGCTCTACCACTGAGCCACCTTCCCAGCCCTCTGGATCATTCTTAAAGGAAGGAAAGGAGCCTTGCTATCACCCTTCCTATCATAGCCTTGCTAGCAGCAAGAAGACACACCTCCCAGAAAGCCAATGGACACAGCATGGAAGGAATCGTCTATGTCAACAGGATCATGAACATGCTTGTCTCCTGGATGCAGTAAAACACCTGCATTACACAGCAAGGGCAATCTCCATCTGGCCCACTGGACAGCACACTGTGCAGGATGAGCACAGGAGTGGGCTTTCTCTCTCTCTCTCACACACACACATGGGCACACACACACACACACACGGGCAAACACACACACACACACACACACACACACACACACACACACAGACACGAGCTACAGAGGCCTCCCAGTGCCTTCTGGTCGACACAGCCTGCTGCCCCTCAGGGATTGAAAATGTTTACCCTGGCCCCCAAGAGGCTCAGGGCATTACGGAGAGCTGTTTAGAGAGGTGGGGTGACCAGAGGAGCCACTGGGAGAACGATGCCCAGACAAAGCCTTCTCAACCCCAGGTGGAGATCATAGGTGGCTTCAGCATCCCACTACAGTTTTCTATGTTTACTTCTCTTTTGTAGGTATGATTTTTTAAACTTTAAATCAGAGGTAAACAATCCAGACACAACAGTACATGCCTATAATCTTAGCTAAAGGACTTACGTTAGTAGGAGAACAGCAGTTCAGGCCAACCATAGACAAAAGTGCAGACCTTATTTGAAAAATAACCTAAAGCAAAAAGGGCTGCAGTGGCATGAGACCCTGAATTCAAATCACACTACTTCCAAAACAAAATCAAAACAGAAATAGAAAGAAGCCACTATCTGTGACTTTATAGGAGGTGATGATGCTGCCTGCAGGAGGGGGCAGCTGTACCTGGTCATTGGCCAACTCCAGAGAGGCCATGGACTCCATGTCCAAGAAGAGGTCCGTCTCAGCTTGGGCGGCCTGGCACTTCTGCTGGTTCTGGACATCCAGGTGTTCCAAGTGGACAACCAGGCGTGTGAGGAGATCCAGGAAGAGCTGCAGGAGTGGGGGCCCCGCATTTCTGCCCAGCTATGAGGAGGAGGACTGCATGAGTCTCAGAGGAGGAAGACTGACAGACACCAGGACGTGCTGCCAGGTCAGAGCCAACTGGAGGGTGAGCTGAGGCATCGAGACCTGCGCATGTGGCTCCTAAGTGACTGCCCCAAGTCACCTCTCAGACAAGACACTTGTCTTTCTAAACTTGAAGAAATACAAAGGTATATGGCTTCAAACCCCAACTGAAGATCCATAAAGCACACCAGGAAAAGCTTGACAATGAGCTCCTGAATTAAGGTCAGGAAAAAAAGGAGGGCCAGCCAGGAGGTAGACCCAGGCTGTCACCAGAGGGTCCCTGTCTCTCCAGGGAAGAGAGTCAGCACTGTGGGAGTTGCAGAGCTGCAACTCCAGGCTCCTGAGCCCCAAGCCCATCCTATGGCCCCAGGGACCATGGGAAATTGTGTCTCTGTATGGGGACCTGGCTGAGAGAAGGCTATGTTTTCTTTGGGGCTGGAGGGACAGTGCTAACCTGGCCGAAGTTTTCCACAGTGCTTCTGAGGTAGAGCAGCACCTGTTTGGCTGAGCACAGGGCCCGGTCCAGGGTGAGGTGTGGGATGGCGTTGTGCAGCTGCATCTGAACACGTTCTTCCCCAAGTGTCCGGTTCTCATAGGCCACCCGCAGCAGGCTAGAGAAGCAGGGGACTAAGGGGGGAGTGTGGGGTCCAGGGCTGAGAGAGCTCTGCAGTGTCTGGGAGAAATGGCAAAAAAGAGAAAAGATCAATTACTACAGAGGGTAGGACAGAACAGGCAACACACACACACACACACACACACACACACACACACGGGCGCACACGCACACGCACATGCACAAGCACACGCACACACCAGATAATCCTATCAAACTATAAAAACCAGGCCAGGTGCATTTTACTTAACTCAGTTATATAGCTTCCTAGAACACATTCGTACTGATGGAATGGTAGAAAGAGACCCACAGTGACGTGGGAGCCAGTGCCCCAGATATGGAAAAGTCCCAGGATGAGTCCCAGGAAACTGGGAAGGCACTGCCTGTAGCGCAGCTCCTGTCTCCCTGCACCCTTGTCAGAGTGTCTTGTCCAAAGAACAGGGGAATAATGAATGGAACAAAATTTCTAGAACTGTTGTCCTTCATATAACAATTGTTCTTTTCTTCTACATAATCCTCAAACTGCTTTCTTACCCCACGTGGCTTATCGTCTGATAACTCCAAACACTCAACATCTTAGACTGGTAGGTCTGGAGCTCTATGTGCCAGGGAGTTCAATGTGTCTCACAGTGGTCCTGGGACCAGTGTGGCTCAACCTTACCCCAGAGAGTGTGACAAATGTAAAATCTCAGGTCTCATCCCAGCTTAGTGCCACATTCAACAGGGAGAAGGCTGACTTTCACACATAGGAGGGTGACACTGAACTTCTAGACACAAGCCACCTTCTGGCCATAACCTTGGCTTCTGTGGGAAGGAAGCTGGCAACATTGTTCCAGGAGCAGGCCTGCCCCAAACCTGACTCATCACAATCGATGGCAGAATGCTCTGCACCTACAAGTGTGAATAGTGGTGAGTCTTCTCCCATCTCGCCAAGTTCTTGGCAGGTTAAACAGTTTAAAATACACAAAACGCTTAGTATACTTTCAGAATACCCAACAAACCAACCACACCATCAATGTAGCTACCTTCTTCAGGCAAAGGCTCTGAACTACTTGCTTTTTCAAATGCCCACAAAAATCCACAGCAAAATTAACTTCCACTATCCTGCCTCCAGCTTGTAGAAATACTTGGCATTGGAGCCAGAACCCCACTAAGAAAATCTTTTTTTTTTTGCTTTATGTTCCAGTGTTAGCAGGTGGGATGGCCAAGCGGGTGCTCAGTCCATGCTGAGGTCATAGAAGACAGCCCCAGATCTCTCAGTAAGGGAAAAGGTAGCTAGCTGGGCACCACCAGTTGTTCATGCCTATAAACCTGGCCACTCAGGAGGCTAAGATCTGAGGACTGTGGTTCAAAGCCAACACAGGCAGAAAACCTATGAAACTCTTATCTCTAATTAATGAGCAAAAAGCCAGAAGTAGAGCTGTTACTCAAGGATTAGGGCTCCAGCCTTGAGTGACAGCTAAGGGACAGCATCCATGCCTTGAGTTTAAACTCTAATGCTGAAACAAAAATTTTTTAAAATGGGGGGCGGGCAAGGGAGAAGAAGCCAGGTGCTAGTGGCTCATGCCTGTAATCCTAGCTACTTAGGAGATCACGGTTCAAAGCCAGCCTGGGCAGGAAAGTCCATGACACTCTTGCCTCCAATTAAGCACCAGAAAACCAGAAGTGGTGCCGTGGCTCAAGTGGTAGAGCGCTCGCCTTGAGATGAAGAGCTCAGGGACAGTGCCCAGGCTGAGAGTTCAAGCCCCACAACCAACAAAAAAATAGGAGGGGAGGGTAACTTCTTGCCTGAAGCTACAGTGATCAGCCAATTACCATTATCTGTATCATTATCAGGGAACTGTGGAACACTGAACTTCATGGAATCACTGAGCCCTTGGTTTCAGCCATACCAGCTGAGCTGAAATGAGATAACTTAGCTCCCCGCAGGTTAATAAATCTCTCCACATAGACTACACGGCACCCGCCACACAGCTGCCTATGGAAAGAGCACCTTAGCAAGATCCCTGACTGCAGGCAGCTCACCCCAGCTTCCCGGGCTTGCTCGGGGATCCAGAGGCTGTAGTATCTGTTAAACTGGGAAAGTTGCTGGCAGCAAGGTGGGCCTGGAGGGTCAAACTTGTCATAGGCCTGGAGCAGAAGACACAGAGCCAGGGGGTCCCTCTGGCTGTGGAGGAGGTCAGTCAGCACAGCTGTCAGATAGGCCACAATGCTCTTCCCTGCAGAGGAAAGAGATTGGATGGGAAGAATGGGCTGGAAGTGCCCTTCTGGGCTTCACCAGCACCACCTCCTCCCACATACATGCCATACCCCCCATCAACTCCCTAAGAGGTCTCATGCCCACAGGGGAAGGTAGGATGCCACCTTCCAAGTGATTAAACACACACCCTCCAGGCTCCATCTGATTAAACACATGCATGTGATCAGATATTAGGTCCGGAAGCCCAGAAGTGGGGTCCTAGGACTCTACTCTCTGATGGGTCCAGGACCCATCATGGCTCATCAACCCCTTTTCGGCCTGTTACCTAAGTTCTCCTGTAAATCAGGTATGATCACATGCCTAAGTTAGTCAAGATCTCTCTTCCCTTTCCACAGTGACCCTCTAGGCCAAATGTCAGGATAATAGAGCCATCAACAGGACAACTCTGAGCCACTTTCTAGAAGAGAACCATCCAGAAGAGCAACCTGGACTTCGCTGAATTCTGACAAGGTCAGAAAATGGACCTGTATGTACTATAAATAAATTATAAGACACATGGGGTCATACATTTGCTATGGCACAAAGCCTGAGATCCCTGGAAAACCCAGAAAGTATGAATGACACCATATCACATCAGTGAACAGAGAGACAGAGTGGGTCATTTCTCAGATGAACATTTTCCCAGCAGCCTCCAGAAATGCCCCTATGCTCTGAGCTCCATGGCTGGGTAGCTACCACTCTGGGGAACGGGGTGGAGATGGGGGTTGAAGTGGGAGGGGGGTCTCACCTCTCTTTGCTTTAGGTTCTCAGCCCCTGGAACTGTACCTCCCAATATCCAAGAGTCCAACCCACTTGCTACAGCCAGCACACCCTGACTGCACATAGTACCTGCTTCATTTTCTGTCCCAAGGAGCAACTTATTCCTGGCTTCCAGGGCTGCAGGGACCACAGCACTGAACGGGAATGTGAGCAGGACCATGTCTTCATTTAACAAGAAGCCAATTTCCTCGTCCAAGCCTTCACTGCCCTCCACCAGCACATCCACCATGTCGAGCACATCTGAGATAGAAAGGGGAGCCCAGCTGAGCCAAGAGATACTAAAGAATCCCAGTGCAAACCCACGAGGAGGGAGAGCTAAGAGTATAGTCACAAAAAGTAGAAAGCAAACAAATAAAAAGCAGCCAAAGAATCAACATAAACTTCTCTGAGGCAGAAAACTAAGTATCATCCTAAACAGATGAAGACATTGCCCGTATAGTCTTCACAATCTTTGACAAAATTTGGGAGATTCAGCATTAAACTGATGACAACATGGTGTTTTCCTCAAGTTGCATGAGAAACCAGAACTTCAGACAAACAAGCCAAATTCTGAGAGCATTTAAACACAGACCAGCACACTGACTTTAAGCTGAGCATCAGTGGCTTATATCTGTACTCTAGGCTACTTGGGGGATCTGGAGGACTTGTGCAGGGGGTATGGCTCAAGTGAAGAGCAAGCTGTGAGCAAGCAAGTGAGCAAGTGTGAGGCTCTGAATTCAAATCCCAGCACAGGCAAATAATGTAACAGTAATAATCCCGATGATTACAATGTAGTAGCTTTGTCAAACTGAGTAAACTAACCTCTTTTGTGCCTCTGTTGCCTTAGCTATGTAAAGGAAGACAATGACATCTTTTTCCCTTATGCTTGTGATGTTTGCATGTGTTAAGACTTGTGGGGAAAAAAAAAAAGATTTGTGAACTGTCTAAGACAGGACCTGGTACACAGTATACACTTCACAAAAAAAATAAATAAATAAGCTGGGTACAGATGACTCACACCTATAATCCTAACTACTCAGGAGGCTGAGATCTGAGGATCATTGTTCAAAGCCAGCCTGGGCAAGAAAATCCATGAGACTCTTATCTCCAACTAACCACCAGAAAACTGGAAGTAGCACTGTGGCTCAAAGTGGTAGAATGCTAGCCTTGAGAGAAAAAGCTCAGCGACAGTGTCCAGGCCCTGAGTTCAAACCCCACAACCGACAAAACTGAATGACTAAGTAAGCAAGCAAGCTAAGCGACTACTAAGGAGGAAGAGAGAAAATGGGAAAAGAGAGTGAATAATTTTCTAACACATCACAAGTATATATGAGAGTAGCACTCAGAAACTCAGGGAAAGGGGGCTGGAACGTGGCTCAGTGGTAGAGCGCTTGCCTTGCATGCCTGAGGCCCTGAGTTCAATTCCTCAGCACCACATAAGCAAAAAGAAAAAAGCTGGAAGTGGCACTGTGGCTCAAGCAGTAGAGCGCTAGCCTTGAGCTGAAGAGCTGAGGGACAGTGCCCAGGCCAAGAGTTCAGGCCCCACGACCAGACCCAAAATAAAAAGAAAAAAAAGAAACTCAGGGAAAGCTGCTGATCAATAGTGGAGTGAGATGGGGAGAAATAATCTCTGTAGGTGGGCAGAGACTAGTGGAGGGGTTTATGCTGGCAGAAGATAAAGGAGGTTGAATACTGTCCAAATATGTCTTTTGCAATCATGAAAATAAAACAAAACCTTTGGGAAATGCTATTTTGGGGGAATAAGAGGGACAGAGAATATAATAGAGGGGGATGAGATTGAGTGGAATATAGCACTAACACATGTGGACATGTAACAATGACATCCACATTCTAATACAAATATAAACTAATTAAAAAGCCGCAGTAAGTGCTACACGCATTTCCCATTATGTAAACGTGGTGCACTGTAATCCACCTGCAAAGTGGGCAGAGCCTTGACACAGAGAAATGGGGCACTCACATGACCAATCTTTAGACCCCAGCAGCAGAGGTGGGCAAGGACCTACCATCAATGTGGGAGATGGGAATGCTGACGTCATCTGCATCTTGCTTCCCTGCAGTGGCCTGCAGCGTGCTAGCTTCCTGGACAAAGTCAGATGCTCTGTCTGTATATGGATAGGGATTTGCCACCAACGTCAATAAAACCTGGACAGGTGAGTAGTAAACATTTAGATGGTTGTAACTAAAGTGAAGAGGAAAAAAATAATGCCCCAATACATCACTAAAATGTGAACCGTCCTTAGTAAGAATGATAATTTTGTTGCAAAGTGATTTTAAAAGTGTTTGTTGCACAATTAAAACTTATCTCTTAGGTACTATTGGCTAACACCTGTAATCCTTAATACTCAGGAAGCTAAGACCTAAGGATCAAGGTTCAAAGTCAACCTGGGCAGTAAAGTTGGCGAAACTCTAATCTCAATTATCCAAAAAATGTCCAGAAATGGAGTGCCAGCCTTGAGCAAAAAAGCTAAGGGATGGTACCAGGCCCTGAGTTCAAGCTCCAGTACTGGCATAGACAAACAAAAAAACAAAGCTATCTTATCTCTTCTTAGTATGTTATGGTTCACATCACTTTTAGGATTGTCTTATTCACTCATTTAAGAACACATTCCCAAAGGAGATTTTACATCATGAATGTAAGGTAGACCTGTCTAAAGCTAAGTGGATTCTTAAGCCTCAGCAGGCCTAGGTCATGAGCTAGAACAAGAGCCCTCCTGGTGCTAGCACATCAAAAATACCTCAGCCACACTCAGAAAGGGAGTGTGATTGACCTGCATGCATTCCCTTTCATGGGACACCTGTGCTTACTCGTTCTAGAAACTGGATCACAGTTTCTCGGCTCTCCTCCACAGTGTTATCCAGGTGCCCAAGCCACAGCTCCAGCTCCCTCCAGGTATGCTCAAACACACCTGTGTCCCGCAGAATCTGTGGGCAAACAGACAAGGTGCACAGGTCAGAAGGGAATTGCTCTCTATGGCTTCTCACTGTACCAGACCACATGAGGCCAGGGAGCAGGAAGGGCAAAGGGGGCAGTCCAAGTGATTCTGTAGGACGTTCTTTCAACATCACATTCCCACTGTCAAAGGACACAAGGAAAAGAGATCACTGCTGTCCTGTCACAGACAATTTAATTCCTTTTTTTTTTCCACTTCCCAAATTTGTAAGAAAGGAAAAGATTCAACTACTATTTAGCGGGCTAAGTTTCTATCTGAGTCAGGTACATATCTAGGACTTGAGCCCCTACTCAGACAGCTACTATCTTCAAGTAGCTTGGGGGATAAGGACAAAGTGCAACAAGATTATCTATCAGCCCTTCATGTTTGCATCCTAAAAACAGTAACTGTGATGCATAAAGCATATCTGTGGCACAGCAGAAATGAGGCATGAGACTCCTTATGGCCACAGCAAGGCCTGATGTAGCCCTGGAAAAGTGAGCCCCATGTATCCAAAAGAAGGGCCTATGTCCTCTTCTCCCCTGATGACTTTGAGGCACCTATACTACGAGTAACAGGAAAGGTGAAAAAAGCCTGAAAACCTCCAGAAAAGGCTCAGAGCCTGGAGCAAGAGAAGAGGCTGAGCTAAAACACTTCCCCCAATGAAGTGGAGTTCAGTGTTTATTACAGCTATCAGAAGCTACTGCTTCATCTTGTTTCATCTTCTCTGTCACCCAAGGCTTTATTATCTCCATTCACCATGAGAAAACTAAGTTCAAAGAGGTTAAGTATTTTGCCAAGGCTACCCAGGAAGGAGTAGAGCCAGGTTTCAAATCTAGAAGTTAGATCTCAAAGCCCATGATTTTAACTACTTCACCACGTTACCTCTCAGGAATGTAATTAAGTATAAGACATCCCAAATCAAACCGTAAGACATTTTATATATTTACAGGCTCAGGCATACCTAGGTCCAAGGCGGTAGACAAAAGGTGGGCTGATCACAGCCCAAGGCGAGCCTCAGGTGAAAAGCGTAAGACCACACCTGGAAAATTAACTAAATCAAAAAGGGACTGGAAACCTAGCTCAAGTAGAGCACCTGCCTAGCAAGCGCAAGCACTACTACCATCAAATAAATAAATAAAATTAAAACGTACAACAGTCCTAATACAGCCTGAACGCAACCTCCTGTCATGAAGAGGCAGGCAGTGCTTTCAGCATTAGAAACGGGGAGAGCACTCACCTTCATGATAAGAAGTTTGGTGAGTGACTTGAGCTGTACGTGGCTGCTGGTCACGAACATCTTCATCAGCAAGTAAAACACTGACCGCTCTCCTCCTATGATTTCTGCATCGGGGCCTTCCTACAGGTTGAACATGCCTCTCAATATTGCTTCAGTGATGATTAGCTGTATTTTACTTTTAGTGTCAATATACATGCTATAATAAGAATAAGGCCACACTTGCTGGGCGAATAGACAAGTGCATGGCAGCAGGCTTCCAAGCCTCACAACTCAGCTCGCTTTACCCACCACTGAGAGCGGCTGCTGAGACAATGCCTGTAGGGACATTAGGTAAACACCTTCCTATTTCCACATAGCACTATCGTGAAAATATCAACATGCATTTCCATACTACTGCTTCTATATGGAAATCTCACATCAAATCGAAGTCACTGAAAAAGACAGGCTGAGCTACTGAGCAGCACACCTAAACAAGGCAACATTCGTAGGTCATTTCCTCCTCATGTCACTGCGCTATCAGCACCTGCAACCCCAGACCCAGGAGAACAGCCGTTGCACCTGAGCTCCCTCTATAAGTTGGCATTATGTTCTCCAAGAGTCCTGGAAGATGTTACCCAAACATTGCTAGTGATGTTGCCAGCCTCGGCCATCTGCCAGTGTGGTGTCTGTCTACTCCTGTCTCAAGTCCTTCTGGGATAAGGACGAGGGAAAGGAATATATTTTATTTCCCCAAACCTTTTAAAATACTAAGAAAAAGTGTTGAGGCAAAAGCCAGCAAGTCCAGTAGGTTAGCTATGGGCAGAAGACTGGAGTGCTCTGTTTCCTACCTGTGCCTTTAACCACAAAAATTTGCTGGCAGGCAGCTCCAGGGCCACCTTTAGCATGTGGTGCTGTAGAATGGGAGGGACCTCCTTGCCAAGGCCCTGCTCACAGATGACACCTGTGGATACAAGTGAGGAAAAGAGGGACAGTCACTCAGAGGCTGGTGCTCACCTCTGCTTCCCTGGCCCACAGGACCAGAAAAGGAAAGGCAAAGAAAGAACTGAGTCTGTTCTGTGTCCTGTATTTGTTCACTTAGGGTAGATGAGGCCTATCTCACCTGACTCTTCCCACCCCAGTCTACTGAATCCTTCAACAAAATACCAGATTCTACTTGCTCAAATGGCCCTTCTATGCCCATGCTGATCATACTATACCACACTACCTCCAACCATGGCCTTGCATGAAGGGTTCTGCTCGTAGAGTGCAGGCCTTGCTACCCAGACTCTGTAGACAGACTCTGGGCATGGAGCCTGATGCTGGGATCTTATTCACTAGCCTGGACTCAGAAGTTCTCCTTTGCTTGGGAAGGACATAGCTATTATGTCTTAAATGGCCTCATTCTGTAAATCTCATGTGTTCCAACAGCAAATGATTACAAACCTAGTAACAGCTCTTGATAAGGATTTAATTTTTTTGTCGGTCGTAGGACCTGAACTCTGGGCCTGGGCGCTGTCCCTCAGCTCTTCAGCTCAAGGCTAGCACTCTACCACTTGAGCCACAGCACCATTTCCAGCTTTTTCTGCTTATGTGGAGCTGAGGAATCGAACCCAGGGCTTCATGCATGCAAGGTAAGCACTCTACCACTGAGCCACCTTTCCAGCCCCCAAAAGGATTATTTCAATAGCTTATATAAATTCCCAGATAGTCTTCTTCTGTGGGCCCAAATATAAAGCCAATTTTATTGGGCAAACAACATTAAGGAACCACGACCAGACAAGCATGTTTCTTTTATGAAATGTAAATTAAACTTTAGGTAAAACAGAAGGTAACTACGTTTGAAGTGCCTCTGAACTTCTAAACAGATGGCATGTCTTGTCCACGGGGCTCTATTCTGCTCTACACTTAGTAGCCCTGTGTCCTTGAAAAACCGAACAACATATTATCTAATTGTCACAGGACCTTGGTTGGTAGATCTTCCACAGTAGAAACTCGGACTGCTGGATTTCCCTTTCTCCATGCTCCCAACTTTAAGTATTCACCTAATGTTTACTTAAGGAAGCTCAGCTATTTAAAAAAATATATTGGTCCAAATAAAAACAACTAGGCTGGTAGATCATGCACATTGGCAATTGCATGCTAGTTCTCCCAATCTTCAATTCCTGTACTACGTTCTCTATGTCGGCCAGCCCCACTCGCAGACCAAGCAATGTTGTATGCAGTCCCTGAGACCCACCTTTCAGGAGCTTGCTGAAGTCAAAGTTGTACTGCATGACCACTAGGGGGACCACCTTTTGGTATAGGCATATAACTTGGAGCAGGACGGCTTTCAAAAGAATGGTTTCTGCATCATCTGCACCAAAAGAAAACAGTTCTGAACTAGGAAACATACCTGTCCTTTGTCATTAACCAAGGGAACAGCTCAGCCACACCTGACACACCCTGATCAGCTCATGCTAAACACAAGCTTGAGATAGATGCTCTGCAACCTCATTTATGGTATCAAGGAGGTAAAACAGTTAAGACCACTCAAAGGGACTGGGTTTAAGCCCTGCTTTGCTGCTATGGCCTTGGGTGGGTTTTGGCTCCCCTTCTCTACTGGCATCCTTATCTGGGCAGTGGGAATGCCACAGGCTCCACCCTCTGGGGACAACATTCAGGATTATCAGGATCTAGATACAGGACACAAAGCCAAGCCAACAACACATTTTAATACAAAGGGCACCTTCAAGACCACCTCTATGGGAAGAGCAAACAAGAGCTCCAACCCACTGGCTATTCACATGGCACCTGAGGATTAAGTCTTCAAAGAAAACTTTTAACAAGCCTGCACACATTTCTAATATAAATATTCAATCTACAAGAAGCTAAGATCTGAAGGATTGTGGCTCAAAAAGCTAGCAGGTGTAGAAATAGCCAGCAAAAATGCAGGGCTTGCTGGGCACTAGTGGCTCACGCCTGTAATCCTAGCTGCTCAGATGGTTGAAATCTGAGGGTCATAGTTTGAAGGTAGCTGGGCAGAAAGTTTATGAGACTCTTTTTTTTTGGGGGGGGGCGGGGGTAGGAGGCTTGGTCGTGGGGCTTGAACTCTGGACTTGGGCACTGTTCCCTGAGCTCTTCAACTCAAGGCTAGCACTCTATTACTTGCGCCACAGTGGTGGTTAATTGGAGATAAGAGTCTCACAGGCATTCCTGCCCAGGCTGGCTTTGATCTGTGATCCTAAGATCTCAGTCTCCCAAGTAGCTAGGATTATAGGCATGAGCCACCAGTGTCCAGCTATGAAACTCTTATCCCCAATTAACTACCAAAATAAGGCCAGAAATGAAGCTGTAACTCAAGTGGTAAAGCACTAGCCTTGAGTAGAAAAGCTCAAGGATATTACCCACGCCTTGAATTCAAGCCCCAGAACTGGCACCAAAAATAAATAAATAAAAGATAAAAAGCAGGGCTAGAAGTTTGACTAAGTGCCAACTGGGTAAGCAGGAAACCTTGAGTTCAAATCCTGGTATCAGAAAAAAAAAGGAATCTATGATTCCATTGTAATTCTCTTCCGTAGGCAACATGGGATACTAGATACAGGAAGTGAGGGGCCAAAAATAAGAACTGCATGAGGGGGGCTGGGAAGGTGGCTCAGTGGTAGAGCGCTTGCCTTGCATGCATGAGGCCCTGGGTTCCATTCCTCAGCACCACATAAGCAAAAAGAAAAAAGCCGTAAGTGGCGCTGGGGCTCAAGTGGTAGAGCGCTAGCCTTGAGCTGAAGAACTGAGGGACAGCACCCAGGCCCAGAGTTCAGGCCCACGACCGGACCCCAAAAAAAAAAAAAAGAACTGCATGAGGATCCTCCATCACAACTCCCAGGATGCTTGTCATCTGCCCCCAGCAAGTAGCAGAGGCCCCCAAAGCCCTCACCACATTGGACAGCCTCTTGGGCCGCTGGAGTCCTGTCATCTCTCTTCTTCCCTTTCTTGTCATCCTGTACGATCTCCTGCTTTTTAAGTGACTGCCAGACCCATACAATAGTGTTCAAGTCTGGCAAAATCTAAATGGGAAAAAACAAAATATCAGTCATAGGAGAAGAAATGAACTGATACCAAGAAGGGGAGGAGTGTAAGTGAGCAGGAGTGGAAATGTGAGTATAGTATACAAGTGAGTAAGAGACAGGAGGGAGGGCGAGAGCAGACTTACAACCTCTGTAAGCTCTACTCTGAGGTATAATTTCTACAGACTTTAGCCACTAAGGAAGGATTTGGTGAAAAAACATGGCTTATCACAAAAATATACTCTGAAGATACCTGCACCTGAGCTGGACAGGGAGACAGAAGAAACAGGGCTCCCCGTGGGGAACTCACCCCTCATCTCCTTGAAAGCTCTGGGTGCTTGGGTCTTTGTGGGAGCCTGGCCTTTCTCAGCAGAGCCAGCCACCCAGCCCTCTTGCCTGTGTGCGTAGAGGCAGGTGGGGGAGGGGAAGGAGAAACTGACCTCTGGTGAGATGCTAGGTCCAGCCAGATTCAGAACCCTGCTGCTTCTATGGGACAGAGAGTCAGCGAGCGGGTTGTCTGAATTCCTATCTCCCCAATGACTGCTGTGAGTGTGAACACGCCATCCTCAGCGCTGCCCGCTGGCCTTTTCAACCCTCACCTTCCACCTTTTGTATTCAAGGGGCTTGAACCCCTCTTGTGTTGGGCAGTGAGGTCTGTGGGGCAAATCCCAAGCCCAGACATATGCCCACCTTGCTCAGGGACTCTCTGAAGAGCTGCACGAATTCTTCCATGATCCTAGCTGTGTAGATACCCGATTCTTGCCACACATCTTTATTCAGGCAGTGCTCAATTGTTTTTAAGGCTCTCTTCAAAATCATGGAAATAAGGGATAAAGCTGTGTGTCTCACTGATGTGCTGTCCAACTGGGAAGAAAAGAGAGTGACATCCACAGGTGTACCTGAGGCCAGATTTCCCAAGCCCTGGTCTAGTTACTGCCCTTCATGCAGCGCTGAAGGGAAGTGACAGGAGACAGCTAGATTCTGCACCGTGTGAGTGAGGAGGGAAGCTGACCACCTCTGTAGCTGGCCGCAGCAGCTGCCAGGAAAGTGATTGCTGAACACGGAATCCAATAGTAGCTTTTGCTGCCTCTCACAACCACTTAAGCAGGCACAGACAATTTGCATGAACAGCAGCAAAAATTCACCAGAACCCACCAGAGCCCACCTGCTTCTCCTACAATTAGCATCCAACATCACTCACGGTTTACTTCAAACCAAAATCCAGTCCAAGTCTCAAAGACTTCCTGAAGACTTTGGTCAAATATACCAGGCTGCGATTCCCAGAGCAATTTCACACGCAGCCAGATGATTCAGCAGGAGAAAGTTCTAGAAATAAGGCAACCCAGGCACCACCTTACATTTAATGCTTGAGTGAACATGATCTTGTTGCACACCAGGGGCACCGTGGTCACCATCACCATCGCTAGGAGCCGAGGCAAGGGGATGAACTCTCTGGTCCAAAGTGCCCGGGAAATCTCTGGCTGGGCCTCATAGATCTAGGAAAAAGTAAAAATCAGAAGTAGAAGTGAAGTAAAAAAGTAGAAGCTAATTGTAAGCATCCAACTGGGATGTGGTTCTAATCAAACTATGGCAGTGATGAAGTCAGACTCACCACAAGGAACAGGGTCTGAGAGATTAACCCCATGCATGTAGGTGGAGGCTGGCATGTAGTCTGCAGAGCCCCTGAAAAACTTGGAGCTACAACTACGCTAACACCAACAATGGTCTCACTTGCCACCACTGCGGTATCCAAGAACACTGAACATTAAAAAAATGCTTACCAATGGCAACACTGGCTTATCTCAGTCCACACAGCTAGTAAGATGCCAAGTGAGGGCTAGAGCAGACTAGAACTACCACACACTTCCCTTGCCAGCCCAGGAGGGCAGTGCCGCAAGCAGCACTCAGGAAGGGGCTGACAGGGCCATCTTCCCCATACGAGGGCTACGCTGTGCCCATCTCACCTGGAACCCTCAAACAGACGTTAGGGAACACATAGGTACCAGCGGGTACAAACCAGGCACTGGTGGTTCATGCCTATAATCCTAGCTACTCCGGAGGCTGAGGTGCAAGAAAAGTCTGAGGCTCTTCTCCAATGAACCAGCAAAAAGCCAGAAGTGGAAGTGTGGCTCAAACAATATCCAGCCAGCCCTAGAGTAAAAGGCCAAGTGAGAGTGCAAGGGCCTGAGTTCAAGCTCCAACACCTGAGCGCACGTGTGTGCGCATGTGCACGCGCACACACAAAGCTGGTGCAGACAATGGCACAAAAAACAATAGCAGGAGTTTTACCACCGGGTTGTCATAAACCACAGGGACAAAGCTTAACCAAGCCAGGCATTCCTGCCACAAACTGATAATGAGTATGAGCTGTGCATCCCTAACCTGAAAATCCAAATCCTGAAGCTTTCTGGGCACCAACATGACATGTAAAAATATCTTATCTTGGAGTATTATTTAGATTTCAGATTTCTGGACCAGGGATGTTCACCTAATAAATGCCCTACAAATATTCTAAAGCCTGAAAGCTACTGAAATCTGAAGCCTTTCTGGTCCCAACATTTAAAGATGGGGGCCATGCACTGCACTGGCACTGGCAGATGAGTGGGCCCATCCACATCTACTTAAACACATTCTCTGGCTTTCCAAATGGTTCCAATGACTTGAATCCAATCTGTTAAGTACTTGTCCTATAAATACTTTCCTACTTTTAGCCCATGGTCAGTTGGCTCGACAGATTCAAAAGGAATAAACATTTAAACTCAGCACAGTAAAACACAAGTTACTGAGCTGAAGGTCAGCCAAATTACATCCTCTAAAATCCCCCATTATGCCTGGGAGGGCTTCCCCCCTTCCCTTGCCCCCTTAGTAACAAATTCTCTGATCTCTACCTTGTTTAGCAGTTTGATATTATTTAGCCAAGTGGACTTCACTCTTGGGAGAAAGGAAAATGTGACTTCCTTGAAGTACTTGTTCAGCAAGTCTGGGCACACTTTCAAGATGTTTACTACCAGCTCAGCCACCAGCTCATCGTCCGCAGCACTTTTCAAACCCAACAGGAAGTGCAAGAGTGTCAGGTTGCCACCTCTGTTGGGGACATACAGGAAATAGGGAGATAAGCAGGGAAAGTTCAACACACACTATGCATCGCAGTCTTTCTCAGGGACATGGTACCGACATGGTGGTGAGAAAATTGCTTCCTAGGGTACCAACTGGGGTGTCTGCATGGCCTATAGGTTCGAGAATTCTTCCAGAGCGCCTTCATTTCCTCCCCAACTTCTGAGTGGCTGAAAAGTCTACTTTGTCCAGCTCCCATCTCTATTTTCTTTCTTTTTTTCCTTTTTTTTTTTTTTATCGGTCGTGGGGCTTGAACTCTGGGCCTGAGCGTTGTCCCTCAGCTCTTCAGCTCAAGGTGAGCACTCTACCACTTGAGCTACAGCGCCACTTCCGGTTTTCTAGAGGTTTATTGGAGTTAAGCGTCTCACCGACTTTTCTGCCTTGGCTGGCTTTGAACCGCAATCCTCAGATCTCAGCCTCCTGAGTAGCTAGGATTACAGGCATGAGCCACCTGCGCCCGGCTTCTACTTTTCTACTTTGTTTTCTTCCCAACTTTGAGTTCAATCTGACTTTTAAAGAAAAGAGCCATGCTATTCCCCAGCCAGCTGGTGGTCTGCCTAGATAAACAATGGGCAAATTACCCAAGTGCTTGTGTCCCATGGATGGAATCCAAGCTACTCAGGAGGCTGAAATCTGAGGATCTCCATTTGAAGCCAACTCAGGAAGGGAAGTCCAGGAGACTTATCTCCAATTAAGCAATAAAAAGCCAGAAAGTAGAGCTGTGGTTCCAGTGCTTTCTTTAAGCCTAGGCCCTGAGTTCAAGCTCCAGGACAGGCACAATAAATAAATTAATTTAATTAAAACAATTAGACCTGTACTTTGTTTCCTTACTAATGAAATGTTATTAATAATTATAAAATTGGAAACACAATGCAAAACCACAATTCTGACATCCTACCTCATTGGCAGCCTGTCACTGAAGAGGATATAATATTGATCTATCGTGACTATAGGCAAGTACCTAGACCTCTCCATGCCCATGTCCCTCTTCTGCAAAACTGGGGTTTACAGTGGCATTCATCTCAAGACAAGCTGAGAGGCGCTGGCATGTGAGGCTAACTGAAGATAGTGGACAACACCACCTTTAAGTGAATGAGTGCAATACTCTCTATCTCTGTGTATAAATGAACTGCTGACTTAAGGCCTTGGCTCCCAAGATTGTGCAATGAATAGAACTCTATGGACCTCCCACTGCACACCCTTAAAATGAGTGAGGTCACGTCCAAGATTCCATTATCTAACTGGCTCCCATTGGACAGTTGGGATACAGCGAGTTTTGAGGAACAAGCACACTGGTGTCCACCTGTTGCACTTTACCTGCCAAAGGTGCCTAGAGATGCATCATAAAAACTAATGCCATGCTTGCGCGAACAGCAAAGATCCATCAGGAAGTTGTGAACGAGCTCCCTCACCATGGCCTTCCCTGCCTCCTCAGACATCTGTTAGGGGTCAAGAAAATTCAGTGACTTTCCAAGCACACAAACCTGGTATAACTACAGAATAAAAACAAGGCATTGTCACCTGCTCAGTGATGACTCAGAAAATACCTCAAACACTTGGTACCACTCCAAAAATCAGACAAAGAAATCCCCCAAATACATTTATCTATCAAGATAAAAGAAGACTCTCCAGAGGGGCAAGTTTAAACCTGTGTTTGTAAAGGCTTGAAAATGACTCCAATTTACAATTCCACCTTTGGGAACATTTTCATTAAGCCTGCATTAAGCTTCCTGGTAAAATGGCATTCAAAAACATGTTCAAAACATAGGGACACAGGCAAGCCACCATAATAAAAGAAAGTAAAATAGCAGGCTTATGAGAAGTACATCATCATAAAGTTAACAGGAAAATGGAGTTCTACTCTAACAGCCAAGTCTATGTTCAGATACCCCCAAAGAAAATTAAAATAATGTAATAATTTAACATTTGAATCATCACAAAATCAAGTATGCACATCAGTAGGGGAGGAAATATGAGGTCACCTAGATAAGGATTCTGAAGTACAAGAAACAAGCTTTGCAACTCCCAAAGACAGAAAGAACGGAAGGAAGAGGCCAAGTGGGAGGCAGAAGAGAGGACTGGAGGAACTCGTCTCTAAGGTAGGCCCTGCAGGGGAAGTTAAATCATGACTTAGCCAGAGGGAGGACTAGTTTTTTTTCACCAAAAAAATTGGGGGAGGGAGGTGGTGGCACATAGGAAGTGGACACAGGAAGATCAAGGTCCAAGGGTGGTGGGCAAAAGAAAGAGACTCTATCTGAGAAAGGCTAGGTGGACAGCCAAGTGGTAGTGCTTCACTGGCAATGGAGAGGCCCTGAATTCAATGTCCAGCACCCCTCCAAGAAAATAAATAAATCAGTAAAATAAAGAGAAAAAAAAAGGAAATCAAAAGAAAAGGTGGTGGGGGGAAGGGAGGGAGGGATAATCCTAAACCTTAGGAAACTACATAGCACCACAACTTTCTCTCAAAAAAAAAAAAAAAGTAACTTTACTGTCATAACCTCAAGACTAAAATTAAAAGTGTGGTATAAAAAATATTTAAAAAGCTAGGTGCCAGCTGGGTGCCTGTAATGCTAGTTACTCAGTATGTTGAGATCTGAGGATCACGGTTTGAAGCCAGCCCAGGCAGGAAAATCCATTAGACCCTTATTTCTGATAAACTACTCAAAAAAACCGAAGTGGCGCTGTAGCTCAAGTGGCAGAGTGCTAGCCTTAAGCATGAGAAGCTCAGGGACAGCACCCAGGACCACAGTTTAAGCCCTAAGACCATCAAAAAATAATAATAAATTTTTAAAAAATTCATTGCATCCAGCAGAGAAACAGATCAAGTAGGTCTTATCTTCAAACTCGGTGAGGAGTTAGGATGATTCTGTGAGGATCACACACCAACGAGGTCAAGGAAAGCCCAAGAGACTGCACCTTGCCATCCTCGGCATTGTCTGGCAAGACATCAGCAGTCCCCTTCCAGCTGTAGAGCAAAGCTATGTGGTTCAGCAACTGCCCCGTGAAGAAGCGCACCTTCTGGGTTTTTGTGATGTTTTTATTGTGAACTACCTGCAGACAATAAACAAGTAAAACACAAAGAATCAATTTATTTTAAAATAGCTCTTTTTTTTACATAATTAGAAAAAAATATGGCATTGTGGTCAACGGAAGAGGAAAAAGATATGAAGAGAAACAGAACACACCAATATTCCCAAGTCATCTCAAGGGATATCCAGTAACCATTCTAGTTTTTCCTTTCTGCCCCACCTATACCCTAAATACAATGGTTAAGTACCTTTTCTGCCTGAGGTTATTTTTATACATGGCTTCATGCATGTAGTATAGGCTTTTTCCACTTTATTAAAAATTCCTTTGGAACATCTTTGTGTGGGCTCAGTTCTATTGTACACTGCAAGTGGAGCCTAACTTATTTCGCCATTGTCCTGTTGTTCACAATCAGGTTGTGCACTATTCTGGCGATTCCCCAGAATCTGTGAGTGGCCAACTGTACCTCCACTGGATGACAATCAAAAGTATCCTGATATTTTTAAGAATCATTGCTTTAAATACTGAAAGTGTAACAACAAGGATACAGGATGACCCATTGCAACAATTATACCCACAAGACACTATATTGGAAATGAACTTCACAACTTGGCGGGGGGGTTGAGGAGGTGGGGAGGGCAGGGATAGTGAGAGAACAACCAAGGAGGGAGTAACAATGCTCGACAAGGAAGGTAGTCACTGCCTTACTCATGTAACTGAAACGCCTCTGTACAGCATCTTTACAATAAAATTAAATTTAAAAAAATACTAAAGTGAAGCATTTTCAAACTTGTTAGGCACTTCCATGGGGGTTTTCATTTGGGAAAGTCATAGAGGTTTCAAATTTATCATTTGAGGGCTCTCTGAATTAAAGACAACGATTCTTTTAGAAAACTTTCAAATTCTCTAAGATGCAACATGACACAAATTGACCCTTGGCTAGATGTGCAAATAATTTTTTTGGGAGGGGGTCAGTTGTGGGGCTTGAACTCTGGGCCTGGGCACTGTCCCTTAGCTCTTCAGCTCAAGGCTAGCACTCTATAACTTGAGCCACAGCGCAAATTTCCGGTTTTCTGGTAGTTTATAGGAGATAAGAGTCTCATGGACTTTTCTACCTGGGCTGGCTTTGAACCGTGATGCTCAGATCTCAGCCTCCAGAGTAGCTAGGATTATAAGCATGAGCCACTGGTGCCCGGCACAAATAAAATTTTCATTGCAACATACAGCTCAAAATTTAATTATAGTAGATTACCACGTAATTGCTGACCAACAGTTTTTCTCTTATGGTATGAATAGGCTTCAGCACTTCAATCTCTGGTTTTATGCCACATCAAGACTGAGCTTCTCCCTAAGAAGCTCCTGTCCTCTCAGGCTGGCTAACAACATCCTGAGAACTCTCTAAACCATTCAGGGAGAGGAAACAAACCACATCAATGCTGAACACCAAGTACATACCTTTGTTTTCAGTGTGGATAATAAAATATTGATGGTAGAAATGCGATCTTCTTTTATGCCTGAGCTAAAAATGCAAGGAATAAATTCTGAAAGGAAAAGTTTCAAAGCATTAATCTCAGAAGTATTTGAATAACGAGAGAACATTTCTGCTTAAGTAGCACAGCAAACAAAGGCATGGATCTTTTGTTTTTTAAATTTTGTCTTAATGCTGTAGGCTCACAGTAGGAAAAACCAGTTTTGTGAGAAAGAATGCAAAAGATATCTAAAGGTAAAACAATGACAGAACTAATGACTCAGTAGCCATTAGTTCCACATTACTTTCATTATCTTACAAGAAATAAAGCAAACTGAATTCTAATACATGTCAAAGCAAAAGTCTCCAGGAAATGTTTGCTCAGAGACATGTTTAAAATGATGGGCATCACCTTATTGGTTGGTGGCAGAGTGGGTGGTTTTTGTGTTTGCTTTTTGCTTTCTCTTCATACTTTTTGGTTACCAAGGAAACAGCCAGCCACACAGCTGGAAGCTGTGCAAACACTGATCTGGAGCCTCGAGCCATCACAATCATACTTATTTAATACATGCTTAATGACACACTTCACTTCCATAAAAGAAAAATCTAGAAACAGGCAAATCAAGAGAAAATTCAAAGTAAACCCTGAGTGCTAGTGGCTCACTCCTATAATCCTGGCTATTCAGGAGGCTGAGACCTGAGGATCTGGGTTCAGCTGGAGTAGGAGACTCTATCTCCAATTAACCAGCAAAAAGCTTGAAGTGGAACTGTGGCTCAAGCAGTAGATGCTAGCTTTGAGCGAAAAAGCTAAGGGACAGCACCCAGGCCCTGAGTTCAAGCCCCAGTACCGGCACAAAAAAGCAACAACATTCCTCTTTTCCCAGCATTCCAAGTGCTTAGCTCATCCCTTGCTGAGGTAGCTAGGAGAGCTCCACTCTTCAGCTAACCTGGCCTAACCTCTACTCACATTTTTGTAAGTGGAGTTGCCAGATCAAGCATCTGAATCGTTTTATTGCCTAAGGCCAAACTGCCCTTGCTAAGAAAGCTCGGACAGGCTCTGGCATGGTAAATGGGAATCCGCCATCCCTCAGGTAAAGGCTACATGACCAAGATGATCCATGGAAACTAAAGAACTCCTACTTCTGCCAGGGCAGGACATCCTGAACCAGTGCCATAGGGACAGTGACGCTCCTGTGACACTCTGCCACAGTGGAAGAGGGGCAAGAACATGACTGATCAAGCTGGCAATGCATTGACTGACTGCCACTGCACTCGAACATTCTGAGGGAGCCCAGGTGTCCTTCCTGGGGGAGACAGAAGGGCTTCAAACCTGGTCACACTAGCTACAGCCTTCTAGCTCAAATCCCAGAAAGTGAACGATTCCAGGATCCTACTGATTAAGTGTCTGGTGCTAAGTGAGGTGTTGTCACTTACCATCCTACTGTGATTCTTGATAAAACAAAAGAGGCCCTAATAAATTCTATACCCCACATCTTGCCCAAGGTCATCAGAAGGTCAAGTTGGAGTTCTCTTGAGCCCTTGTATTCTAGCTGCAAGGGACCACAGAAATTCAACTTTATTTACAGAAGTCCTGGGACTCAAACCTGGGGTCTTACAAAATGCTAAGTTCTCTACCACTAGGCTACACACTAGCCCCAGAAACATTTTAAACTTTGACAATGCAGTTACTAAAGAAAGCCAGTTAACCAGAGCAAGGAATCTGGGTGCTTTCTAGAGCCAAAAGCCATAAAACCTCCTTGGCCTCTTTGGGTCTGCAGCAATCCTGTCAGACCTCTCAGGAATGCCTCTGTTCAACTGACCAGTGGTATAGGGCAGCACTCCCAAAGCAGTGCTCTCCACTTATCCTATGTGCCTTTGTACATGCAGCTGCAAAGCCTGCAGGCTTTGTTGTTGTTGTTTTTAGTGAACAACTGCAAACAAGCTTCCCTAAGGGACAAAGGGGAACACGTACCTTTCAGTTCCAGCACTTGCCCTATGGTGCTGTCATCACCCGAAATTAAGAAGGAGAGGGCAAACTGGATGTAGGCCAGCCGGACATCATGCACTCCCTGGAGGACAAAGGAAATCTGCATGTCACACGTCCCTCACCCAGAGACGAAGGGAAGACAGGAGCATGCACATGCCACCCACCTACCCATCCTGCCCAGGCATCAGGGAATGCACGTCTGAAACCAGCACTGACTCTTTAAGGAAAGCTCTTTGCTTTTCCCTACCCCTTAGTCTCTTGTATTTTTCCTTCTTTTTCAAGGCGTGTTCTAATACAAACATATGGGGGAAAACAGGGAGTTTCTTCCCCTGACTGGAGCACATCATTTTATTCAGTTCACAGCTGCTCTAGAGATCACCCCAGCTAGATCCATCTCCTTCCTCTCACTTGCCAGTGAAAACAATCCATCATGCTTTGGAAAATCCAGAGATAATGGAGAGACTGGCAATGCTTCTGATGAGCCAATGGGGTGACGTCTGGCTTTTATTAGATATTACACGTAAGTTATTAACTCATAACAGAAATCAAAACACAGATGTTTCATGTTATAAACTCAGTCTGGAAATTCCAGAACCACAGCCCATGTCATCCTGCAGGCCAGCTAACTAACACTCTGGGTCAGTCACTTGGGTCACCTGACCAGTGTTCCCTCCCGTGTTGTCAGGACAAATCTGTCTCATTATCCTTGTTCTACATCTAAGAAAGCCAAGGCAGGTAGTCATAAAGGCATTTTATCAACTGTTCAAGAACTGACACATGTGCAGATATATATAATATATATATATATATATATATATATATATATATATATATATGTAGAGATACGCACACATGCACACATACATGCATGTGCACACACACAATCTACCACTACTTAAAATGAAAACCTTTCTCCAACTTAGTTACTTCACAGTGCCTTAAGTCACTGTTAAGAAATAAGTTCATATTAGACTATTGCCTCAAATGCCTGAGAAAAAAGATCAAGGAATTGTCTCTGTTTTTCAAAGACAGCTCTGTCATACCTTGTGCGGATGGTGATGATGACAGGAGGACTTATTGAACCTTCCCACATGCCAGGCACTCTGCCAACCCTGAACGTCTGTTAGTTCATTTATTCCCTTTTAACTAGCTGAGGTGAAGAAGTTTAACCTCTTCATTTTCAAATGGGGAAACTGAGGCTATAAAAATTCTCTCAAGGTCACACAGCTAAGTAGGTATCAGGCCTGGATAATTAGAACTAACTGTATCAATGTGCTGCTCTGTGTCCAACGAGAAGAGATTTTCTATTCTTCCCAGGACTCCCTTGCGATCTGCGCTGCAGTTTTTTCAAGATTCAAGGACAACACTGGAGGCATTTGTGTCTGTGGGTATTTAACCAATCTACCCTTGTTTTGGAGAAAGCAAGGTTGTGGAGCCCCAGCTCTTCAACACCTGGGTCAGGGCCTTGCACATCTGTCTGACTCGAGTCCATCTCCACGTTGTCACCCAAGCTTCAGTGAGACCATCTCAGGCCAAGGCTGATGGTTCCAGACACACTGAGCTCTTCAAACCACCCTCTGTGCTCGGGCCCCATCTGGGGTGTCTTTACCATGTGGGGCTTAGGAACAATGATGGTTGGTTGGAGTTAAGAACCAGATGCAATGTTTCAATTTTTTTTTCTTTCAAGCCATTGTTTCTAACATATTTATAAGATGATTTCTTTGTTGCTTTGTATGTCCAAAAAAAAAAAAGAACCAGATGCATTTTAGAAGGTGTCAGCCATGTTCCTGAGCCCTCATTCCCCAGTTAAATGTCTACAACCCCCAGACATTCAAGATGCTGACATCTTAGACTGAGAGGGTTTTCTCTGTCCTTGGGAAGCTTAAAGTAATCTGACTCCTTAGCTATTTAGAGGCCTCATCATTCCAATACACACAATACGCATTTCCCCTAATCCTAGTATAGTTCATTTGTCATGCTGTTTGATATAAACACTGATAAGAGTAAACGTTGCCATACCTCCAGCCCTTTTTTGCACTAGTTGTTTCTGAGATACCATCCTGCTTTCCACCAAGGTGCATGCCTAGACTGTGATCCATCTACTTTAGATTTCCCATCATTGCTGGAATGACAGAAGCATGCTAACAAGTCCAGCCACGGGTCTGGTGAACTTTTCTGCTCTGTCTGGCCCCAATTCTCAGCCTCCCAAGTAGCTAGTAGATCAGGTGAACCACCAGTGCCCAGCTCTTGACACTTTTGTCTTGTTTTTGCAGGAGAGAGGGACTGAGTAATGGTATTAGGAGTCAGCACCTTGGAACACTGATATGTAACAGAGTTGGACTACGTCTTCCTGAGGGTCCTCCAGCAATCAATCTCTAAATGAAAAGGAACTTGACTATCACCTGTTGACTCTTGCTTTCTACATCACAAACAAACAACTGTGGATCTGATATTCTTATATTATGATGGAGCCAGACAGATGAATTCTGTAGACATGCTACAGCTAGCCACTATCAAAGCTCCTACACAGCTATCTGGGCCTCCATCGCCACCTCCAGCACATCCCTCAAGGTCATCCCACTGCCACTGGACATTCCCACTCACGGGGAGGGCTGTCATCCTAGGAAGGAAACGTCCTGCGCCTTCATGAGTTGTTCTGCAAAACATTTTCTAAAATAGACCAAAGCATATTTTTCAACTACTTTTTGGCAGAGTTGTCTAACAATGCTTTCTTTGGCTGGATGACTATAGCCATAATCTGCTTTCTTCAGGAGGCTTTAGCAATTTCCTCCCCAAGGTTAATATATCCCACAAGCACACAAACTGCTATTGGCAATCAGCATCTTCACAACAGACTGGTGTGAAAAAGGCAGGGGAGACTGAAAGACTCAAACGAGATTCAAAGATAGTTGTGGTGAAATCAGATTCTGAATTCTAGTCCAGCAGCAGAGGAGATAGGAGTGCTGGGCCAGGGACACGGGGTCCCTTATGCTCATCTGATTTTTCAAATTTCTGACATTTCCTTATTTTAGTAAAGAAACTCACATCTAGACACCTCTGCCAACAACCAAGTATTTAAAAGTAGTTAATACAGAAGACTACAACACAAAAGAAAGTGAAATACTTCAACTTGACATTGACTTTATTTCATATCCTAGGAGGGAAAAATAACCTCCCCGAGAGCTGAGGTGAACAGCTGGACAGCAGGGGTGGGGAACAGAAGCCAGAATTGGGCTTTCCCCTGTAATTTGGTCTGTGCGTGGCCTGGGTAGAGAAGTCCATTTTACTCAGAGAGCTGGGATGGCTGAGATCAGGACAGACAAGAGGGGATGGGGAGGGGATCTAGCAGTAATCACTACCAGGCTTACTGCCAGCAAAGACCAAAGAACCATGGTGTCTACCCCAGTGTGCAAACAGCACACACACACTCTTTTTATTAGAAATGCATTTAAATGTCAGGAGCCATTACTCATCGAACAGAATTTGTTGACATGTTAATAAAGCATAGTATCTAAGAGACATTAAGACCAGGACTCTCTTTCCTCAGAGACTACCCTATTAGTAATTCCTGTAAACCTCTGGACACCAGACCAATCTGAGAGAGCCACAAAAGTTACATGGTATTTTGTTAACCCTTTTGTCTTATCTTCTGGCAATGTAGAAACTCTGAACTCCAAGGAATTTTAAGAGAAAGAGCAAGTACATAGTTACAGAAGTGACTTATACTAAAGCAGTAATCTCCCTCAGCACATGAGGCTGACACCTGTGTGCCTCCTCTATGTTCAGAACACAGAAGAGAACTCTGGCCAGGACATGCACAGCACTGAGCACAGCAGAAGGCCATCTGGCAGGTAAGAAGAGGCTCTCAGATGCGTGTTCTCCCCCACAGCCCAATCAACACTTCTAGAGCTACCAAAAAACTTTTCTGCAGCTTTCTGGAAAGCCAAGCATTCAGTCTCAGCCTCTTTGTCACAGTTCTGCCCTTACCTGGTACAAGATCACAACTGGAAGCATAGGTCACCTATTAAAGGGCCACCATGAGCCCTCCATGAAGACACCGCTGGCCTAGAGTTCCAAGGATATTCTCTGCAGTGGACGGGAAGGGATAGGGGATGGGGCTGCTGTGTAAGCTCACAGCTATGGGTATATCAAGGTTATTCTAGTCATTCAAAAGAGAAGATGCTCACGAGCTAAGTCACCCTCACAGGCCACAGGCACAGTGCCAACCTCCTCCTTGTTAAGTAGTCCCAGAAGCATTCTCACGTGTCCCAGTCATTCCAGCTCTGCTGGGCCACTGTACTCACCTTCAGTCAGAAGGGAGGCCTGCTTTCCTCATAGACAGAGGCTGAAGGAAATGGAGGCATACCTTTTTCCAGGTGCTCAGGCACCAAGGCAAGACAGGCAGATCAAACCACTACAGTATCCAAAAAGGAGGGAGTCATGGGGAAGAACAGGCCTCTCAGGTCTCTCACCTTTGCATCTCTCTTGGTCACCAGGGCATACAAGGGTTTTTTATTCAAATCAAAATGGCTGCAGACATCCCTGGCAGCTTCAGGACCCTGGGTGACCATGGCTGTCAGCAGGTCCAGGCAGGCTCGAGCCATCCTACAAGGGGATGGGAAACCAAGTGTGTCAGAACCGGTAGCTGCCCAAGGCCCACCCATCAGGAAGTATGCACCCTGTTGGATGACCCAGAAAAAGGGAAAGAGATGCTCTTGTTTTTCTTCTTTTCCTATTTTTTGGGGGGGGGTCCAGTCATGGGGCTTGAACTCTGGGCCTGGGCACTGTTCCTCAGCTGTTCAGCTCAAGGCTAGCGCTCTACCCCTTGAGCCCAGCGCCACTTCTGGCTTTTTTTTTTTTTTTTTTTTTGCTTATGTGGTGCTGAGGAATTGAACCCAGGGCCTCAGGTATGCAAGGCAAGTGCTCTACCACTGAGCCACCTTCCCAGCCCCCTCTTCTTTTCCTATTAAAGCACACAAGAAACTACTAAATAAAACTGAAGAGGATTAAGTTGCAGGCAGATGAATATTGATGTCTCAAGTAAGCCATCAGTGACTGAGATCACCCCTCGGTCCCTGTGCATGAAGGACTCAAAGAATGACTTCACAGAAATGTCCTCAAAGTAAGGTTCTGGCTGACTTCCCTGAGCACCTGCTCCATGGGAGGCACTGTTCCAAGTACTGAGAAGTTAGCATTTTATAAGCCAGGTAAGGCCCTTGGCCACATGCCCATTGCACTTGAGTGGTGGAAAACAGCCAACAGAGAGATTCTGTCAACTATGCAGGCTATGCAGATTATGTCAATTATTCAGAGAGTTATGTCAACTATGGGGGTATTTGTCTATATACAGAAAACTATAGCAGGCTAACAGAACAGAAAAAGACAGGAGAAGTGCTACTGAACCTATGAGGTCAGCGAAGGGGTCCTGAGGTGACAGCCCAGAGGCTGAGACAGCCTGCACTCTTTGGGAGCAGAGCACAAGGCAGAAGAAATGGGCTATGCAGCACTATGCAGAGCTGTTTCCTGGGCAGTGAGGGAAACTCACTGCCAAAGCAGGAGGTGCATGTGGTGGGAAAGGAGTCAGTAATGGCCCTGTCACCCATAGGGAAGGGAAGCACAGAGACATGAAGCACAGAGACATGGTCTTGACATCAGCTCCACTCTCCTTAAGGATCAAAGGCAAAGGGCTGATCCACTCTCTAAGGACTAAACACAACTCAAACCCAGAGGCCAGTCTTTTGCCACTCAAAGACAGACTGCTTACCTGTAACCTGAGGCATACAAGGACTCACAGATGAGCTTCATGTGGTTGTTCAGGAGCTTCTTCACAATGTTGGTGCCCACGACTTGAAAATGGGAAAGATCACTGGCTGTCCGCAATAATATGGCCTCAAAAGCTTGAAATATTAGCTGGATCTGCAAGGATGGAATTGAAATCCCATAAACTGTCATGCACTGATGGATCATGCCTATAATCTCAGCCACTCACATGGCTGAGATCTGAGGATCAAGGTTTGAAATCAGCCTGGGCAGACAAATCCACGAGATAAATCTCCAAGTAACCAGCAAAACTGCTGAAAGTGGTGGGAGGGCTCAAATGGTAGTGCGCCAGCTTTGAGCAAAAAAGCCAAACAAGGGGCCCTGAGTTCCAGTAATGGCATGTACAAGCACATGCATGCACACGTGCACACAACACAGAAACTCCACAAATCATCCTGCTTCTTCTCTCCTACACATAGTGCTTCTCTTTATCTTAGCGGAATTCTGAGGAGTTATGCCTTTTCTGATTCTTAGCCCAAAGTAACAAGGGCAGAAAAAGGAGACAGCTGTCAGACCCACTTGCCAAGACTCAAGCTCTGGATTCCAAATAAATAGCTTGCTTGTTGGGTGCCAGTGGCTCGTGTCTGAAAACTAGCTACTTAGGAATCTGAGAATTATGGTTCAAAGTCAGCCCAGGCAGGAAAGTCTGTGAGACTGATATTTCCAATTAAACACCAAAAAGCCAAAAGTGGAGCTGTGGTTCAAGTAGTGGAACAAAAAAGTTCCACCTAATAAATAAATGAATAAATAAATAAATGGTTTGCTTACATTTACACAAAATGAGAGGGGAAAAAACTCTACTAATGATTGGCCCCCCTGCTTTGAAGACACTCCATTTAAGGCTTCATAATTATAACCTTGAGATCAACAAGTTCATAATACCCCAAATTTTCACCCATTCTGGAACCAAAAAGCTACAATCAAGTTGTCAACTTTGTGGCACAAGTATCGACCCAATTCTTTGCTGTTCAAATAAACAAGGAACATATTAAAAATCTATAATCCTGACTTCATTAATCAAACATGAATAAGTTACTGTTTCCTAGTATGATGCTCTCAAAGGTCATGAAGGCAAAGACGAATATATTCCTAGCACTGAGACAAAGCATTATTTCCCATAGGAAATTAGTATTTCCTAAGAAATCTCTTATCACATTTCATCAAGCTCATCTCCACATCAGCATCGTTCTTGTCTTTGTCAAGCCGGGAAGGAACATACTTCACTCTCAGGCCTCTTCTCTGCACTCAGGAGCTGGAATATTTCCGCACACTCCACAGAGATCTTTATGAACCCTTCCACAACATCGTACACATCTTCTTGTGGTAGCTTCTTGGCAGCTGAGACAAATGCTTCCAAGGCTGAAACACATTATGTTAAGGGTTACCAAGGACAATCTCCTCAGAAAATTGAGGCCACTCTGCATCCTGTTTTGTTTGTGACCCTCTTCAACTTATGTGGGCAGCCAGGGAAGCTACTCTGCCCTAATTCAGATGTTGAAGCCCTAACTCCTACAAGACAGTATTTGGAGACCTGGTATTTAAGGAGGTGATTAAGGTGGAAGTCAACACCAAAATGACCAGTGTCCTTATAAGACCAGTGTCCTTATAAGAAGAGAAAGGATGTCAGACAGGTCCTCTCTGAAGAGGGGAGCCACTGGGAAGGAAGGCTTCACCAGCACCCAGCCAGGCCTTGATCATGGATGCCTAGTTTCCAGAAGTTGGACAAAGTGTAAACACTGATATACAGTACTTAGTTTGGCGGCCTGGCAGATGCACCACACAGGTGACTTACAAGCATCCGATTGATGAGAGCCGTCTGGAGGACTCCCACCAGCAGAACTCAGATTCCAATCCTAGCTGTAGCCATTACTCACTTGGATCTTTTCCCTTTCCTCCCCTCACCTAGGAGATGGAAGACAGCCAAAGAAGTGATTTCTCATAGGGTAAGGACACATTGTCAAGAGTTAAGCTAGGTTTCAACAGTCCGTCCTCACCACATACCTGGGCCCCAGTTTCCCATTTCCAGTCAAGACAAGTAAGGCTCTTGCTGGGAACACAAGTGTCAGAACCAGGCCTCAAGTCCACACAGTCTAGTTCCAGGGTTGATGCTCTCCCTTTCAAGAGCTGGACAGTTCCTGCTTGTGCAACAGAACTGCCCGGTGTCGGTCTCCATGAGGTGGCATGTGCACTGCGTACACCGAGCCTGGACCACAGCTAGTCCAGGCACTGCAGTGAACCTGATGTCTTCCAGAAGCCAAGTGTGGCTCCCAAGGCCACGAGACCCCACTGGGAAGGTCAGACCCGCCACGGCAGGGGCTGCGTCAGACTTTCACTCGCCAGTACCTCGGTACTAGACAATTAAGAACAGGCTTGACAGTGACTGGAACGCTGCCGAAAGCAAGGCCGCGTCGGTCGGTCTGCAGGTCGCGGGCAGCCAGGACGCGGCCCCGCACGCTCCCGCCCCCCGCCCGGGCCCCCGCGCCCCGCACTCACCAGGCCCCGCGCCCTGCGGATCCCGCAGCTGAGTCTTGAAGCGCACGCCCGTGAACTCTTCCTGGCGGGCTCGCTTGGCTGCGCCCGCGGAGGAAGCCGTGCCGCCCCGGCCGCCGGAGGTCTTCCTCTTGGGGACCCCCATGGCTGCGATGGCGGGGTGAAGGGGGGCTCCGACCAGGTGAGAGAGGAAGCGGAGCCTCCCGACACGAGCCAGGCCCCCGACACGTGAGGAGAAAGGGGCGTGGCTTCGCAGGAGAGGCGGGGCCCGGGCGGGGAGGCCGGCGGAAGAGGCGTTCCCAGCGGAAGGGGCGGGACTCAAGCAAGGGGGCGGGCCGGCGGGGTCGGAAGTGTCGGGTTACCCTGGTGGCTGGCTGTCCTCTGAGCGGCTCCGCTAGGGGCGTCACGTGACTCGCCGCGGCCCCCGGGCCGGGCTGGGGCGGGACGCAGCCCATCTGGGCGCGCTTCGAGTCCGGAGGCGTGGAGGAACTGCGAGAGGCGGCCCGGTCGCCCGCGCAGAGGGCCAGGCAGAGTCCCCCAGAGGTCTGCCCTCGACCTGAGAGTCCCTTAACGGTGTCACCCGAACTGTCCGTCACGCAGTCGGATGGAGATCTGCCAGTTCGAGCCCCCTGCAGGTTGCCCCGGTGGGTTTATGACTTGGGGTGCCGGGGCTCCCCTAGCTCAGGAGCCTTTGCCAAGGGCTGCGTGACCGTCCCTGACCCCCAGATTATATATCACACCCCGAACCAGACAGGGTCTGGTAAGATGTGGCCCAGGCTGACCTCCCTTCCACGCTTCACCCTCTGCTGAAGGGCAGGGCGGATGTCTTGTGGGAGAAGAGGGGTCAGATGCTGTGAACCCCTGTGAAAAGCCTGGACCGCTCGAGGCCTCCGCACCTAAATTCCTCTCCTTCGAATGGAGACAGCAAAGCCAGCCACTCCCTCCTCCCCCGGCCACTGGAGTGGCTGTAAACAGCACACGATGTGCTGTTTGGAAAACTGCTTTGAGAGGGGGAAATACCGTGTTTTTGCAAGCTGTTGTTGAGTGATGAGCTACATTAAATGCTCTTGAAAACATGGACATAACAATGAACAAGGAAAAAAAAACAGAGAGGTTTATTTTTATAAACCCAACCTCATCAGTTCTTGGGATATGTGTTATAATAAATCATGATCCAGCTCATTGGATGAATAATTTGGTGATTCTTATAACTAACGCTCTGTCATATTAACCTCTGGTCTGTGGAAATCCCTTCTTGTGTTTTGTAAGCAGATGTGTATTGAACATTACCTACTGGTATTTTATGTTCTAGTAGAAAACACAGGGTATTGACTCTGAGTCTACAGCGTAGAGAGAGACTATTGTACCTGTAAAAATCGTGTATCATAGCCCGGAAAGACGTGGGGAGTTTCTCTGGCAGATTTGAGGTTTTGTAGAAATATTAAGAAAAGTGGGGGCTGAGGGAGGATGTGGCTCAAATAACAGAATGCCTGCCTAGCAAGCACAAGGCCCTGAGTCCAGAGAGAGAGAGACAGAAAGAGAGAGAATCAAAAGCACTAATTTCAATTTCTGTCTGGACCTTGGGCAAATGACCATCACTCTGCATTGACTTGCTTTACAAAGAGTTAAGAGAGGGTGAGAAACTTGCCAGAACTACCCAGATCATAAGTGCAGCCAGGACTTACTCAGTGCGTCTTATCCCCCAAGTAAATAGAAGTTGGCAGTGCCTTGCCTAGCCTAGGCCAGAGACATCTCTGAGGGCCGGTAATTGTTCTGATCACCAAATACAGCAAGAGCTATACCCAGCTTAGAGATTACAATATCAATTTACAATTTGCAAAGCTATTGGCTTTGTAGACTAGGCTGATATGGTCATGGTCATCATTAGACAGAAATATAAAATACATATGGAAAAAATAAGTAACAATGTTTTCAGTGTTATTAATGTTTTCAACAAAGAATACATGTTATTTTAAAGCAAACAGAAACAGTCATAAAAGCTGGCCATTTTAGGCCACAAAGAAGGTCTCAATAAATTCCAAAAAAATTAACATCATACACAGACCTTGTTCTCTGGCCATCAAGCAATAAAACTAGACCATCATGATAAGAGAATAGAGTTTTTTATGTCCCATTAATCAGGGGTGAGGGATAGAATTTCCACTAAGTAACCCTTGGAAAACGTAAGAGAAATTATGAGACTTGGAATATAGCAGAGAACATCTTAACTAAAGCTGTGAGATTCAGTGTTTAGAGGACAACTTCTTGCTTCAAAACCTGTATCAGAAAGCAATTGAGATAGAAAATGAGGTAATTATAAAGGTTCAAATCAAGAAATTGGAAAATGTACAGTCAAGCAGCCTGGCACTGGTGGCTCTCACCTGTAATTCTAGCTACTCAAGAGGCTGAGATCTGAGAATTGCAGTTGAAAGCCAGCCTGGGCAGGAAAGTCTGTGAGACTCTTATCTCCAATTAACCACCAAAAACCCAGAAGTGGTGCTGTGGCTCAAGTGGTAAAGTGCTAGCCTTGAGCTGAAGAGCTCATGGAAAGCACCCAAGCCCAGAGTTCAAGCCCCCACAGCCCCCCCCCAATAAAACCCTCAAGGAAGGGAAAGAAATCATTAAGGTCAAATATCAAGGGGGGATGTATTAAGGGGAAGGGAGGAGCTGGGCACTGGTGATCCACCTCTGTAATCCTAGTTACTCAGGGGCCTGAGATCTGAGGATCATGGTTTGAAGCTAGCCTGGGTAGGAAAGTCTGTGAGTCTCTCTCTCTCTCTCTTTTTTTTATTGTGAAAATACTGTACAGAGGGGTTACAATTACATGGGCAAGATAATGAGTACATTTCTTTTTTTTATTTTTTTTATTGTAAAGATACTATACAGAGGGTTACAGTTACATGAGTGAGGTAATGAGTACACTTCCTCTTGAACATTGTTAGCCCCTC